TGAGCAGGAACAGTTGAAGTTTAGAGCCAAATGATGCAATTTTATACGTATTGTATTCTCTAGTCGCATTTAACGTTGGATTTACTGGCTTTCTGAACAGAATCCCAATTAAGATGGAAAAGGTCAGTGATCTGACTCCACTCTGAGGTTTCATTTTGTGTTTGTACTCTTGGCTTTATTATCTTTCACAAAGAGCTTAGTTCCAAAGAATGCTTCTCCTTTGCCAAAATTCCACATAATCTTGCCTTCAAGGAAACATGTCCATTTTTAGCAGGGTACGAGAGCCTTTTTTAAAGCAGATTTCTGGTAACAGCAATTTTAGCCCATAAAATGTGACCACAGGTGAATCCTACTTCAAATTATATTAGCTATATTCCACTCATACACTTGCGCGTACTGAAATTCAATGTTTGTGCTTTCGGGGGAGAATTAGTCATTTGCTCTTTGGAGTTCATGGTATGTCAAGCAGCAAGGGTGTGTACATATATATTAAAGCAAATAATCTGCATCATGCTGATTACTCCTCTCTTGATTTGACAGCAATTGGTTCTTAATTCATGCTGTCGTATTTGTTAAAAAAAAAAAAAAAGAAAAAAATAGATTTGAAATAAGAAGTCACTACAATGTTCTTCCGAGAAGTTGAGAGAAATCTTTGCAGAACTTTTAGTTTGTAATTTTAGTTCAGTAATTTATACTGTAGCACATTCTGGTTTTCTGGTTGTAGTTGAAGTTATTTTATGCATACAGTAGCAGAAAAATATCACTAAAACAAGTCTCAATTGAAAAGGTATTTTCAATAAAATACCTTAAGTTTTGTTCCTTCACCACTTTCTCTTTTGGAAAAGCATCAGCTACTGCCGTACTACAGGGTAGCATATGTGTAAATATCTAACCAATCACTGGTGGTTTTATTTCTCTCCTGATTTTGTTAGAGCTGTTCCTTTCATTCAGATACTTCTAGGAAGAAGAGGGGGAAGAGGATGGAGTTGTTGAATCATTTCATACAATGACTGCTGCAGTCTCTGCTCCATTTCTGGGTCCATTTAAGGTCTACTTTTTGGAGTAGAGGAGGGTTCCAGAGAAACTGGCCAAAATCAGAAATGTCTCTGAGTCTTAGGGATAGTGTGTTCTGGACTTAGGGAAATTGAAATACTTGTTGGAGGTTTGCAAAGCGGCAAGGCAGCGATTACGAATGACCAAAAGCAGTTCTTCATTTGCTGATTTGGAATTCACACTGTATTTTATCATATATTGTTTGACTCTATCACTTAGTCTGTGTTTTTCTAGCACTTGCCTTTTCTTATGTTCCTGGCAGACATTCCCTCTTAGCTCCCCATTCAAGCATATGAAATCATGGCTGCTGTGTATGAGTTAGCATTCTCATGGCCATCATCTGGGTAAAAATGCTGCAAGCTTCTTAACCAAGCTTGTAATTGGTTAGACCCGCTTCTAATGATGTAAGAGACTACACTGCAGCATCAAAATTCAGCTTCGATTTAATCTGCTTCCCACCAAATTCCTACTGCTAAACAGAAGTGCCAAGTTTTAAAAAATCACTGTAGATTGAGAGAAGTCTGGAAAAACTTAGTTGTTGTGGCTAGCCAGCTTTGGTGTCTCTCTTCTATCATGCAATGAGCTCATTTGTTGTTTAAAAAAATATATTTTCACTTCTTCACACCCAATGTTACTTTGTGGGGAGTTACTTCTATAGAAATTCCAAATCATAGCTCAGAATATATTAAATTCTTGACTAGTTCATGCCTCATGGGCTGCACAATATGTAAACACTAGAATTTAAATGTTCTTTGGTAAGATAAAGTGAAACAAAAAGCACTTGTGAATTCTTATGTTTGTGGTTAAACCCTTTCCAAAACAAAGTTGAAAGAAATTCTTTCTTTGCAACTCTTCTGCCAGAAAATATGGCTCATTACTTGGGAAGCCTGTTTCATTGTTAAAATGGGTAGTATTAAAACAGACTGCCAACACAGCTGTGTGAAGGAGGGCTAAAACCATGTGCTGAAGGATGTTGTTACATTGTGAGATAACTGGTGGAATTCTGTTCCATCCTCCAGAGTCCCTAGGAAAAATGCACCTTATAGTGAACCAGTGTTGAAATTCTTTAAGTAGGTGCTTAAACATCTAGTCAGTGTGGAAGCTAAGTATTCTTTCTGAATTACCTTTGCTTGTTTCTTGATATCTCTGAAATAATTTGCATTCTTCTCCCTTTCTTTTATGGCAACATACAACTGTGCAGTGAAATGTTAATGGCGAGTTCTATATGTCACAGATAATTTCAGTAATTCCAAATACTATGGCTGCACTTACAAGAAACTTTTCAGGGCACATCATTTTTATGTGTTGGGACAATATGTTTGTTTGGAAATGGCTCTTCTGTTACGTATTACAACAGTGTTGGCACAGGAGAGATGTTTGGGAATGTTGCCATTTTGGACATTGCATTGTTGCATAGTTTTAGCGCTATTTACTCTGCTTTGAATTTACTGCAGCTGTACAACATGGAGGAGGGGAGAGCTGGAGTTTGCTGTCATTCTCACTGAAACATTAATAAAAAATATATTATGGAAGTAAAGCAGAAGACACCCTAGGACAGGCTAGTATATTAAGGGAAATGGCTTGTGCAAAATAAGTGTCCATTGCAGAAATTCCTTTGAAAGTGTATACTGTGTGAAGGAAGCAGGATATAGACAATTGCTTTATTGACTCTTTTACTATCTACAGATTCTTAAGCAGGTTCTGATCAGCCAGGTTCATTTGCTGTTTCCACTTCAGCTGGAGTTTGGCGAGTGCTTTAAATCAGCAAAAACAATCCATGCCACTGGAGCAAGGGACTCTGCTGCTTGCACCATTGTTTTTCCCTGGTGTTGGCTTAGGGTTTGTGGGGCTGGGTGCTGAGGGGCTCAGAAAAAAAAACCATTGTATTTAATTCTGACAGGATTTCCCACAAACTCTGACAAGACAAGGGCTTGGGATGATCAACAGAAGTAAGAAGACTTTGGGTTTGGCAAGTAGCAGGAAGCAGGACCTATCACAGTGGTCTTTCTTTGCATTTGATGCATTTATCTGATGTTTTATCTGGATTAGCATATGGTAAGATTGGGATGTTTATGGAATCTGCCTTTAGCAATTGTAAGAGCAGCTTTTCCTTCACTCGTCAAAGAAAAGAAGAAGTGGAAAAAGAGGTATTTTTCACACAAAGAAAAAATGGGCAAAGATCTCAAATTGTTTCCTGTCGTAAGGCAACTAAATAATTCAAGACGTGATGCACACTTAATATTGGTGACTTCTATTATTTTGTAGTTTTGGCTCCCACTGTTGATTTTTCAGAATCAAGTATGGACAAGTTTAAGCTGAGGTCATGTTTGAGTTTGATACAAGCTGGAAAGAAGCACTTGGTGTGATTTTTTTTTTTTTTTTTTTTTTGTTAAATACTCATTGCTGAATGGACAAAGAGTTTTGTTCTGTTCTTTAAGACTGCATTGGAAGTCTTAAAAAAATAATCTGATGGTTCCTTCATCCTTTATGCTGTTGAGGAAAATTCGAAATTCAAAACAAAGTAGCAGTTAAGCTTGGATTATTTGTTTTTTAATCATGTATAACATTGATTCAGGTTATATGGGTTCTTACAATGAATGTCTGCCCTCCCTTAAAAATATTAAGGTGAAGAGTTAGTTTATTAAACAGGAAGTATGTCTGTAGGAACTCCCTGCTGACACAAGCTGTTCTTGATGTGAGCATAACTCTTGTCAGACTTAAGAGCTGGGTGTGTTAGGAAGCAGGAGCTGGCATTATAAGCAAAAGCTTTCTTTAACCTTTAAAAACAAGAGCCCTTTGTAGCTGCATTATTTATCACAATACAGCTTTTATCATAGAATCATAGAATGGTTAGGGTTGGAAGGGGCCTTAGTCCTTAGCAGTACTCCAGGTGGAGTGTGGACACACAGCTTGGTGTCATTGGCAAACTTGCTCCGGGTGCACTCAGTCCCACTGTCCATGTCACTGATAAAGGCGTTACACAGCACCGGTCCCAGTACTGACCCCTGAGGAGCACCACTTGTCATTGGTCTCCAATTGGACATTGGTCCATTGGCCAGAACTCTCTGAGTTGTGAGCTAATTCTTTATCCACCGAGTGTTCCATGCGTGAGTACTTTTGAAGGAGAGTATTACCAATGGGTATTTTATGCAAATAGACTGGTAATTGGAACAGGCTAAGGAAAAATACTGATTCCTTATATACAGAGTTTGGTAGGAGTTTTGGTGAAACTTTTTATCTTTTGCTGAGTGAGGAATATATGACCACAAAGATAACAGTAAACTTTACTGCCAGCAGCAAGCAGAGCATTTCTCTGCAGCTGGGAAGACCCTTTATTGTAAACCATTCTTTTGCCTGGTTGAGATTACAGGCTTGAACTGTATCTCTCTGAAGGAGGGAATGCTTTTCTAGAGTATAGAAGGCTTGTCTGAAGTGTGTGCCTCATGTTTCCCCTGTTGGAACTGTTACACATGAATATACATGTATCTATATGAAGTATGTATTTTAGACTAAAAATCTGTGATTTTCACATAGCATTGAGTACCTTAGTAGAGGGCTGGGAGAAAAGTAGTTTCTGATTCTTTTCATTACAGCACTGGACACCCAGTGCCAATTCCATTATTTAAAGAGGGTCTCGGTACAGAGATTTGAAGCTGGGCTTTCAGCATCTTAAAGTATCTTCCTATAAGCATAAGGCATTTTGGGATATGGAAGTCTGACTATGAAAGGAGTGTTGCATCAGGCTCTCTTTCTCTCATTGCGGCTGTAAGATTTTAAAAGATGTTGATGTATTTCATGTGTGAGTCACTTCATAACTTTGAAACTCTTGCAGGCAGGACAGCGAAACTAATTCCTGTCCAACTGTGTGACAGTGAATACACAGACAATACTTGTCCTCATGGAGTTTTAAGAGCTTTACTGAATGTTTCTTTTTTCCCTCCCTTTAGATTTGTCACGGAACAGACTGTCAGAGCTTCCAGCAGAAGCATGTCACTTTGTCTCCCTCGAGAGTCTCAATTTGTACCAGAACTGCATTCGATACATCCCAGAGGCTATTTTGAACTTACAGTCTTTAACATTTCTAAATATCAGGTAACAATTGTCTTAGAAATTTTGCTTTAGCATCAGTAGTCTAGGTTTATAAATTTTAATGCATCTGTAAGTAGTGCTAACATGGTGTGTGATCATGACATTGTTTTATTTTATGTCACTGGATCAAAGCACCTGAACCAGTCTTACCCACTCAGGTGGATCAGGAACATGAGGATTAACTAGCAGCTTGTGGAACTGAGTATGAAGAAGAAAGCTAATTCCGGCTTAAAGGAATAGCCAGACAAATTCCAGTAGTTTTCATGTGAAATACAGGCATGCAGACTGGAAAGAGATGATAGAGCTTTTAGACAGTCTTTACATTTCAGCTCTCAGTAGCTGAGCAAGGCTCATGCAGTTTTCCTTTACTTTCACTGCATTGATAGTTTTTAACGATCTTTCTTAAGCATTAATATGACTCTGGCAGCATTGCCAAAAAGCTAATTGGTGCAAAAGCTAATCAGTGCAACTCAGGCTGTTGATTTAATTTAACTGTGTACAGCATCCTCTGTTTGTAGAAGGCCTTTTAAGAGGCATGGAAAGTGCCTCATCACAAATTGGCAGTGATATCAATCAGGAAAAACGTCAGGCTATTTTTTGCTGTTGCTATACTTTTGCCAATTTAGTATACTTTCTTTATTTTCTTTATTGATGGTGAGAATTGTATGAATAGGATATGAATCATGTATGGGTTTCCTATTGCTATGATCTCTAGTAGGTGAGGTCCAATTATTATCCTTTTAAAAGTTGCTGTTGGTTCACCTACTACTACTGCTCAGAACTTTTTTTCTTTAATAGCAGGGAAATCTTGATTTCAAGTGTGAAAAAATACAGCATATTTTGCTAAATGTGATCAAAGCCTTAATTAAGATCCTAATAAAATTCTTTCTAATCATCCAGCCACTGCTCCTTTCTATGTTTTATTTTTAAAGGGAATCTTTGTCTTTTACAGCCCATTCTCATCCTTCCTGTTTCTCATCTGAGGTTACAGTCCAGTCATATGACCTCATATTTGCTTTAATAGTAATTTATTGTGAAATGTTCAAGGCTGCATTTTGTAATAGTGAAATCCAGCACACCATGATTTTTGATCCACATGACTTGCTCAATTAGAAATATACTTTAAATATTCAGTAAGTACTGACTTTCTCTGTGGCATTTTGTATGTGCCCACCTGCAGTACTACCTATCTGAAAGGCTTTTGCACTCTGTTCGTAGTCATTTGTGACAGAGGGTGGCCCCTCATCAGAAGCACTTGAAATAACATATTGCCCAGCACATGAGTTCAGAAACATCTGATCAGGTTTGGTACTTGATACTCAGAGTTTGTTCACATGTAACTGAATAAAGCAAGTAATGAAGAATGACTTAATGGAACTACTTTTACAGTAATTAGATGATCAACTCAGATTTTATATAATTGTAATTTGCTTCTTGTATGTGTCTTTCGTTTCATTAGAATGTGAGTTCATTAGAGTTCTGATGATTTTGTTTTCTTTCTGTCCAAAAAGTCGAAACCAGCTTTCCACATTGCCAGTACACCTCTGTAGTCTACCGCTAAAAGTCTTGATAGCAAGTAATAATAAGTTGGTTTCAATACCTGAAGAAATTGGACAGCTCAGACAGCTGACAGAGCTTGTGAGTATGCAGTTGCTTTTTAACTATTACTACTCTGTCCTGAATTTGTAAGTGATGTGTTTAATAGGTTCAGACGTGCCTCAGAAGAAATAACTTCTTTTAAACTGATCAAAATAATGCAGTAACTAGGATGCTGTCTGGGCATGTACAAGGTCAACATCCTGTTTCTCATTCTGCTGAGAACTTTGTGATTCTAAACCAGTCACTTGCATGCAGTCGTAAGTTACTTACATCTGCCCTTAGCCTAAGGAGGATTTATGTCTCCTATAGTATCTCCAACTATGCTTTGACTTTGGATAGAGTTTGAAATACTCTGACGTCTTAAAAAAAAATTATATGAGGGAGAGATGCCTTGCACTGGAGAGCAAATGATCCATGTCAATTTAACTAAAAGTCTTCCTTAATTTTTAAAGGAAGGCTGGATGGAATTAGAGCTCTTCATGCATTTGTTTCTGGCATAAAGCTTTTATGTAGCAAGTTGTGCTCTCTCAGATAATATGGAATAACTTGAATGTGATAACTTAAAATAGCCCTCTACATCTGAATGCTTAAATCTTTGTAAAACTTTTATTTCCCCATGTATTTAAAATGAGAATAATGCTTCATATCAGCAATGAGATTAAGGAATATAGAGATCTGACATGTTATGTAAATAGTTGTCTTTTTCAGTCCTTAAATAAAGTGCTACATATTTTACTTAACAGAAGGCTACCAGTCAGTGATAACTCATTCTTTACTCTTGTTTTCTAGGATGTGAGCTGTAATGAAATACAGACAATACCTCCACAGATTGGAAATCTGGAATCCTTGCGGGACCTAAATGTCAGAAGAAATAATTTGGTGCGTTTACCTGAAGGTGAGATAAAGACTGTCAGTTGTAACAGCAGAAACCTAAAGCACTTCTGTATTTTCGATGCGGTTTTCTTCCCGTGGGAGCTAGAAGCAGCATGTTTAATTATTTTGTAAAACACACAGTTTTATACTTTTGATTTTTTTAATACTTTTTTTAATCTGCTGAATTCTGTGTTTATTTTCTGTCTCCAGAGCTTGCTGAGTTGCCTTTGATCCGATTAGATTTCTCCTGCAATAAGATAACAACAATACCAGTTTGTTATAGGAACCTCAGACATCTGCAGACCATCATGTTGGAGAACAATCCTCTCCAGTCACCCCCTGCACAGGTAAACCGCAGCTAGGAATCCAGATGGACTAGTTCATCTATAAAGAGCAGAACAAAGCTGGATGCTGAAGAATTATATTATGAGCTTTATTTAAGAACAAGAGGACTTCAAATAAATTGTATTAACTAATAGTGTTAAATACGCAGCACAGCTTGAGAAGTCCCTTTTCTTCTTTTACTTTACTGTATTAGTAGTCTCATTGATGGGATATTACTAAGAATTCCCCTGTTAGCATTGTACTACTGTTAATGTTAGCAGAACACTTCTGCTTTTGGTGTAAGAGAGAGGAAGCTCTGTTAAGCAAGACTGATTTTGTGCCACTCAAATGTCAAAATTTTGACTGAGGCCTCAGTGCTGCTGTGTGCTGGTTCACTTTGCAGCGCAGTGCTCAAATTAGCCTTTGAGCTAGAAGCTGCAATATGGTTAGTGACTAATTTGATTTTTTTAATGTGGTATATAAGCCCCTGAGTATTACAGGTTCTACTGTGAGCTGCTGCTTCTGAGTCAGGAGGGCACTTGCTAAGACCTGTAGGAAGTAGGTTTTTGCCTCCCTTTTGAAAGCAAAACCAGCTGTTACTGGCTTCATTCACTTTAAATTTGAGCTTGCTTTGGCAGACTGCTACTGCCATTCAGAGCTGGGCATGGGTGCGATGCGCCGTTCTAATGCCAAGGATATAAATTCTAGTACTTGTAAATACTCATGTGTTGTTTGCGTGTTGAAATTTCAGCATCCAGCTGACACAGTTGCATGCAGACCAGATGTACTTGGAGGGTAGCTTCCATTTGTCTGTCGTGTGCATCCTGTCATGCTCCACTGTAGCTGTTTCTCTAAAATGCAGTGAGATTAGAAGAAAAGATATGTTGGTTGATGTAAATGTGCTCATTTATTCTTCTCAACTACAGGTTAAATGCCTGTAGAGTACTTTGAAAATGTATTGTCAGATTATACCTATGTAATTTATTTCTTTTTTTTTTTCTTTTTTTAGATATGTATAAAAGGAAAAATCCACATATTTAAATACCTGAACATAGAAGCATGCAAGATAGCTCCAGACTTGCCTGATTATGATAGGAGACCCATGGGATTTGGATCTTGGTAAGTCTGGCACAATCCAAGTTCTTAGTTTTGACATTCAGGAAAAATTTTTCAGTTGCCTTGAGTTTTTAAAGAAACTAGAGCCAAGGATCATTCTTCAGTAAGTGCATTGATGGATGTGGCTTTGAGGAATGTAATTTATATTATCTCATGGTGCACTTTAGGAATTGGTGCATGCTCTTGTGTTGTTAACACGTGTTCAGTTTACAAGATCTTAATATTTTCCACATACTTCCTGAAGTACATCCCTGCTGTGATTTTGAGCCTTTTGTACAGAATTTTATAACTGCTGTGCTCAAACCACAGGTGTAAATGCTGATCTCCACCCTATTAGTATACTGCTATTTTTGGCAAGCTTTCACTTGGCACTGTTGCTTAGCATTGTAACACAAATGTTGGAACAGTCAGTTGTATCTGCTGCTAGATTAAGATGTCTAGAGAAAAGCAGGAGTTAAGATTTATTTCTGTTATATAGAAGAAAGGGAGTCAGTGAAGTATGAAACTAAATATATAGAAAAATTTCATCTTGGAAGGTGGTAATAAGGTGTGGAGGAGTGAGTTGCCTGGAAAGGATGTACTGCTGTTTTAGCAGCAATAAAACAGAAATCAGAGCACATTACAATAAATCATGAGACAGATTTGTGAAGAGGGATTTGCACAAGGGACTGACGAGTGATTCCTCATCAGCGCAGAGTATCTTAAATTATTAATTTTTTAGGTGAGGTCAACATATAAGCATTTTGAGTGTTACTCAGTTTCCTAGAGTATAAGCTGTTGCAGATGTTTTCTGCATAATACTGAGGATTCTGCCATGTTATTAAACCATGGTATTTTATCTAAATGATAAAGTGTCATGATCTGTTTATCTCTAGCATAGTTTGTGTATTTTTTAAGAGAAATTCTAAAAATATCAGTGGACTATGTGGTTACTGATTTATTGTTGTTTTCAGTTGTATATTACTATGGAAATTTTCATTAATTGCTTTTGTGCAATTAGAAGAATTAATGTATTACAATCATAACTTGGAATTATGAATGTAAAAACAAGTGCAGAGCTATTTGCATATGCTTTCTTTGGATTTGCCTCCAGATTTAAGCATATGAAATGAGTTTCAGCTGGCATTCCTTTAGCTGTATTTCCATCCCCAATAGGATATAAGAGTTGGTGGTAGAATTATTTGTCATTACCATGCTGTTCAGGGCATTTAGTTTTACAGGGGATTATTCCTGTCTTCATGTACCTACTCTCAACTGTCCACGGTTAAGAGTATATATTAGGAGGCAACAGTAGAATGATCTAGTGGAAGAGAGGATCTCAAATTACTATATTCTTCTGGAACTTGGGGTGAGAGAAATAAAAGCATTCTACTACAATATAGTTAATATTTCCAGGCAAGTCATAAGAGCTTTATGTTTGTTCTCTTCAAAGGTGGCCAATAGAACAAAGGTATCAGTCTGTACACCTAGACTTTGTTGCTGTTTTTATCTGATAAGCTAGGTGAAATACCATGGATATGAAGGTTAAGGATCTGAAACTGAGTGGTTGAGATTTTTAAAAGTTTAAGAAAGTTTGAGTCATACTGTCAGATCTCTCTTCATCAAACATTGTTTAATAACAAAGTTGTTAATACTGCTAATAAAACAAGATGCTCTGAAACATTAGGGTAGAAAGTGGGATTTCAAAGTCGTAGTGCAGCTGATTATCAAACTGTTTTACCAGAGTGAAATCTTGTATGTTACAGTCCTTTTCTAAACAAGATATATGAAATTTGTGTTGCAGCAAGTTTCTATCTGCTGCAGCCAGTCCCTCATTTGTAAGATTGAAGTTCAGAGCAGCTCAGGCTGGTGCTGGAATGAATGTGATTGAGAGGAGGCAGAACTGTCCAAGCTGTGTAGCAGTTCTTTTGGCACTGTGGCAGACTGGTACAGGCTGGAGTTAGAAGGTTTAAAATGTGAAGTACTCACGCATGAACCAGTGTCTTGGATATTCTGGGACTTGGAGAACTGTTCTTTCTTAAAAATACATGTTTTAATGTGGCTTTGGAGTGGTGTCTTTGAAGTGTTGGCAAGTATTGTCTTTGGCTGTTGGCTTTACCAGGCATTTAGCTTCTCATGCTTTGATTTCAAGCCTTACATGGCCTTCTTACATAGCCTTCTGGATTACTTGCCCCAAAATGCTCTGATCTGTCCAAATGCTTAGTCATTGTTCCTTGTAGCTTGTTGGTCAGAGAGGAATAAAAATCATAAGTCTCAACTGATTTCAGGATGGCTGCGGTATGATTATAAACATGTAAAGTGTGCAGCATTGAGTGTGCAGCTGTTTTTAGATGTGAAAGTTAGAGAGACAGCAGCTTTCATGTTAAAAAGGAAGAAAGTCCTAGGAACAGCGATTATGAATTCTTGAGCTTCCTGGTAGCCCTCACTGTTAGATGTAGAGCTTTTCAAAATCTCTAATTGAAAAGGAAGGCTAAAAGAAGAAAATTTGTATCAAAATACTTTCTCATTTTTGAAATGTAGCCAAATAGTCATTTTGATGCTCTTCAATTTGCAGTGATTGTTCAACCTTACAACAGGGTACTTGGGAGATTCTGAAAATATTGATGTATTTATAATGGAATTACACTGCAGATGGATTTTTCTTTTCTCTGACCCATGTTTTAAAGACACTATTTAAGTACTGACAACTGTTCACATAAATATAGTTCAGTTGTCAGTTATTCAAGTAAATATTTCTTTAACTGCATGGGTGATTTTATGGTCATTCTTTTTGCTTCCCCACACAAAAGAAGGAAGTTGTTTTTTCTTTCCCCCTTCTTCTTTATAGGGGTTTATTATGCAAATGAGCTTTCTGTTCAAATACAGGGCCACAAAAGTGAACTCTTTTTATTTAAACAAAACTCCATGCCTATACAGGTTTGGTTTTTGGTGTATATCAGCATAGAAGTAGATGTATAGCTTAACTTTGTCATCCCTCCTCTTACTTTTTTGCTATTTTATGTTTATTTGAAAATTAAAATAGCTCAGGATAATCGTCTGTTGCTATTATACAAAGTCCCATGCACACATACAATACTGCATTAATAATAATAACAACAACAGTATGAATCAGTAATGATTCATTTGAAAATAAGTGTTTCCTGAAAGAGGAATTTCAGAGGGAGCGACAACTGGAGAGCAATAACGGAGAGAAAATGACCTGCAATTTAGTTATGACGGGGTGAAGCAATTAGCTTCCTGAAATTTGTTCTTCCTTGTGTATTGTATAGTAATTATTGCTGCAGCTCTCCCTGAGGCATCCAGTGCCAGTAGGACAGTTGAGCCATTGTGAAATGCCATCTGCAGTGGATCAGACAAGTCCCATTGTCTCTTTTACTGTAGCTATCTGCAGCAGTTGCCAGACTTGACATCTGTGATGGCTGTACTGATGAATTAAGTAGTTTCTAAGCCCAGAAGTTGAGAACTGCATGGCTGTTTGGTTATGTGTATTGTTACACTAGACACATGTCTGATGCCTTTGTCTAGTCAAAGTCAGGCTCTGTGGATGAAAACTGCACTTCTATATTATATTACAAAGCATCTGAAATACTGTTGAGATTGGTACAGTTTCTTAGGTCGGTTATTATGATACAGGAGATAATTATGTAATGCATTCTGTGCACTTTTGTGTAGGAGTAGTATGTTCTGAATTTTTAGTAATTTTGCATGTAATTTAATTTTTGGTAATTTATACTTTTGAAAAAGTTTGTGGGACAGTGTTTTATCAGTGAAAACATGAAAAAATAAAAACTTGAGTTGTTAAATAAGTGAAATAAGATGCCACTTTGAAGTTTTCTTTGTCATAATTTCTGCTTGGGAAATGCTTAAAGTATGGATCTCTTGGATCAGATTAGCTCTTAAAACACTAGGCAGTGGCAGGTGGACAAGTCTGAAGTACGTTTGCAGCTGTGAGTACGTGCCCTCTTGTTCTAAGTGGCAAATGTGCTATGATGCTTTCTAATATGCTGAGCTTCTGAACAAGCTGCAACTGCTTCGTAGCTCATTCTGCTTTGATTCTGCAGTAGCTGAGTTTTTAGTGGTGTTTATATTATAGTAACCAAAACTGTGTGTTTAACAGCCATGAGGAACTCTATTCCGGTCGTCCATATGGAGCACTTGATTCTGGCTTCAATAGTGTGGACAGCGGAGACAAAAGATGGTCAGGGAATGAAGTAAGTTGCAGCTTTATTTTTGTCTGGTGCAGTATTGTATAGGAAAGAAAACTGTTAAGTATACATATGGAAGCATATTCAATATGTAACGTATATGCTAGTGTGCAGGTGCCCTTGAGCCAAAAATATTTGTTGTTTTATTGGAGAAAAACAAGTGTAATTTTATATGGGACAAAGTTGGAAATAATAAGAGAAATGTATAAAACACTGCATGACAGATTAATTTACTGGGGTACAAAACATGAGAAAAATGGGTGGCCTCATTTTAAAAAAGCTTATAACTGTATCATATTACAATGTTGAGTCAACTACAATTACTTATGAGGAGTTGTTTCAATAAAATAAATCTGAACATGAAAATCAAGCTTCCAAAATCAGATGGAAATTTTTTCTTCTTTCTTTGAAGCTTGTTTCAAATGTTACAATCCGTTTGCCATTTAGAAGCAGGAAAATGGCGTCTTTTAGCAAGGCGACTGTCAATTACTTTTCCCAGAGAAAAGCTCCCTTTTTCTCCTGAGACAACTAGAAAAGGCAGTAGCCAAGACCTTAAGAGCTTCAGTGAGATATACTCTGTACAGCTGCTTGCACTCCTAGCTTGGTTTTTGAGAGGGTTCTAGGAGTTTCCATCCTGCAACGTTTTCAGACACTTACAGATGCAAAAAAACAACCACAAACAAACAAAAAAAACACCAAGCCAAAAAAAACACAACTCCATAGGCAAGCTGTTTGTATTTTTGGATTTTTTGGGGTTGTTTTGGTGGCTTTTTTTTATTTTGGTTGGGGTTTGGGGGGGGGGGGGGGGGGGGGGGGGGATGTTTGGGTTTCTTTGTTTGTTTGGGGTTTTTTAAGAAAATTTAAATATGTGGTTGAAAAACCCCTTGCACTACAGCTGTATTTTGTAGGTGCCATTCAGGACAGTTGAAGTAAAAACGCAAATTGAGAAGTAACAGTTGCAAGATGATGTTTCTGAAGAAAAGTGTTTCTTGACTTCACTGTTTGTTTTCTGAAGCCAACAGATGAATTCTCGGATCTCCCTTTGCGTGTGGCAGAGATCACTAAAGAACAGAGGCTGCGAAGAGAAAGTCAGTATCAAGAAAACCGAGGCAGCACAGTTGTCACTAATGGTGGAGGTAAATAGTGATTTTGGTTGACACTATTTATTGTCATCATTATGAAAGCTCCAGGATATTTGCTATAAATAGTAGGTTGTCTAAAGAGGAAAAAAATTAAAAAATCCAGGTGTAATTTTATACAACCACTGCTGTGTAAACAGAAAAACACTTGTATTAAGGTTGCTATGAGGCAAAATCAAATAGAATCAGAATTAGGATTGTGTCAGCTTCTGCTTATGTGCTGTGTAAAGTCTCCAATTGCTTCGGACAGTGTTTTGGAATGGAGTTTTGCTGCTTGAGCTACTGGGGAAAATTTACAGTAGGAGTAAATTGTCAGGGCTTCACGCTGACTGCTGTCGGAAGGGGGTCAGCAATTTTGTCAGGGAATGCCAAATTTCCAAGTAGCAAAAGTGCCTCATTCAGGTCTCAGGTTTTAATCCAAGCACACAAGGCATCTGTGGGGGACTGGTATTTCTTAGTGATGTTGCTTTTTTGCACTTTCTCAATTGGTTGCTCTGCAGTCTTACAGTAGCACACTCATATTTGTTAAAGAGGTGACAGCACTTTACATGTTTCTTGATCTCTGCAGTCCTTCTCCCTTTTAACTTCCAATAATCTGCTGCTACCACTGTCTTGTTTTGATTATATGTCTCAGTTTTAGCATTCTTCCAGGTTTTGGTGTTTGTTTGGTTTTTTTTTGGGGGGGGGAGGGGGATGTTCCCAGTAATTCCGTCTTCTCTATTTTCCTGCACTACTTATTGTTAGATCTCATCCCATATATCTTGATTAATTTTATTTCTTTCTTAGCTGCTCCCTGCTTTCCATTTCCCCTAATGGTTACAATTCATATTCCCTCTATGAGTGGCACTCTTCCCAACTACTTTTAATCTTCTGTGCCCAACTCCCATTTTTTCTTCTCTCTTCTCCTCCTCGTCGTCTTTTGCCATCTTCTTTTCTTGGTCTTACTCTTCTCCACAGTACTTTGGGGTTTTGCCATCTGCTAGAAATACCTGCATTATTTTAGTTGACTCACACTCTTTCACATGATGACAGACAATAAGTACCAGTTCAAACACTTAGATTCTATCAAAGTTAGAAGAATTGAAGACATGGCATCATGAGAAGCTCTGGGCAGCCTTAACAACAGGTAGTACTGCCAGCTCTGCCTCCAAGACTAACTTTATTTTGTACACCAGGGATTTCAAAATGTCTCACTAGTCTTTTAAGATCGAGCAGGATCAGTTCATGATTAGCAGTATTTGAGAGTGGCACAAGCCATAGCCCATAGCTGTCAATGATCCAGGAGGTGCTTTCCAATTTTGTGTTTCTAACACAGACACTAGTGTCTTTCACCTTTTACTGTAGTGTTATCATTATTTAAGTTTAATAAGCAAGGCTGGAAAGAAGGCCTTTTTTGTTTTGCCTTATTTGTTGGGGATTTTTTTATGATTTGAAACTGTCATGGAGACTTAATGAAGCCAAAGTACATATGAATGCTGTTCTGGAGGGTTGTAGTAGCGGAGGAGGTGGCTTCGGCAGTAACAGTTGCTAGATTGTGTGGTGAGGCAAAGAGAAGTCTGTTTTAGACAAGCAGGAAAGGGGCGGGGGAGTAGAAAAAGAATGTGTGCAAGAGAGTTTGGAGCCAGTTTGGGGAGAGTTTTAAGAGAAAGAAAACTCTAGTACTCAGAAAGGGAGCTCATGCCTTGTGCTGCATCCCCAGCACAGTATTTTTCACCAGGGTAGTTTACTCAGTGTCAGTACTCTCAGGATCCCTGGGCAGAATGTATAAAAGCAGTGACAAGTGAAAAAATTGCCCTACATAATATCACCCACACAAGGGAAAATCAATACTAGCCAAGCTGTGCTGTTTCTTGCTCTCATTTTAGTGGATCCTAATCCCTTTTCCATTCCTCCTTTTAAAATAAAACTGTAGATGATTTTATGTTGGTTTATAAGGATTTTGTTGCTTTCTGTGTTGTCCTTCATTATTTCCACACATACTTCCTATGTTTAGTGGATTTGTATCTAGGTAACAGACACTCTGCCTTCTATGTTCTTGTTGTTGTAGTAAAATTAATAGAAGTATGTCATATCCATTCTCATTTCTGTGACAGAGATGAATTAGAACCAAGAGAAATGATTCAATGTGTACACAAATCATTGTACAGTCTTGGTGTCAGCTGGCAGATTCTGATAGATAGTTTTGGGTATTGAAAAAAAATCACTACTTACTTTACTTTTTCAGTCACTGCGAAAGTATCTGCTGCCATAAAACTACATGCTTGATACATGGTTCTCATTGCTCTTTAGAAAGCATAAATTTTCTCATTATTTCAGAATTTGATGTTTAAGAAATGTTAGTGGACTTGGCAAAGTCCAGGAGCTTTTAGGCTGAGTTTTCCCAGACAGAAGAAAAACAGTAGGGCCTTAGTTCCTGGCATTGCTTTTTTGTTGGTGTTTTTCCCCTCTCCTGTTGCTTACCTAATTGTGGGTGTTTTCTTTGTGTATGTATGTCAAGTGGAGCATGATCTCGATCAGATCGATTATATTGACAGCTGTGCCACAGAAGAGGAGGAGGAAGAGGTGAGGCAACCCAAGTGCATGGACTCAGACAGCCTCAGCTCACAATTCATGGCATATATTGACCAGCGGCGAATCTCTAATGAGGTGGTGCTTTTACTTAAATTAGTTAAATTCATATGCCCCAGGAAAGTCTCTGTGATGGTATTAATGCTTCTTGTCCTTAGAGGTTTTCTTAGGGTTGTTTGTTTGTTTGCTTTTATTTATTTAAATAATAAAATCTGGTCTGATCTGGAGGAAGAGCACAGCATTGGGCTTTGTGGAAGGTCAGAGCTGGAGTTTTAAGCTGCTCCCAAGTGCCTTTTGGGATATGTGGGATAAGTCCAATGCAGCCATACTGTTTTTCTGTCATGTGGATTGATGGAATCATAGAATGGTTTGGGTTAGTAGGGTCCTTAAAGATCATCTGGTTCCAGCCCTCCTGCCATGGGCAGTGACCCCTTCCACTAGGCTTGCTTTTTGCAAGCTTATGCTTTAGGCATATGTGAAGTAAGTGTTTTTTACAAAGGAGGGAGTGCTGTCTTCAAAAAACATGCAAGTTGATGCTTCCAGATGGTAATTTATGAGATCTAGAAAACTGTGAACATTTACTTGGTAGTACTGAATATATACTGGCTTTCTCAGGGGGAAAATGTTGATTGTTACCAGTCTAAAACATTTAATACAGGAATTTTGCAATTCCATTTATTTGGCTGTTCAAGTTGATTGTAAGTTACTTGCCAGTAAACTCAGTGTCTTGAGCATCCAGTTTAATTTTAGACTAACTTAAATATTCAGACTTTTCAGAAAGCCTACTCTTTGCAGAAAACGATTTCTTTCTCACTTTACTATTGAGGAAAGCTCTGAACCACAGATATGGATTTGGTTACGTGTATGGTCGCCTTTCTGAACAAAAACCAGCATCTGTAGTTTTAGATAAACCTGGCACAAAACTGTTTTCAGTCAGTGAAAGTATACAGGTGAATGAACAATAAGTAAAATTATTGCTAGACAGGTTCGAAAGTTCTCCAGCCAGCTTTTTAGAAATTTCTGGAAACAGCTGTGAGCAACTCTGAACACTGCCCTGCTTTCTCTCACAGACAAAAAATACAACTAATAATAATAGTAATTTTAAAAAGAAAGGGCAAACTTAGCATATACTGTCCTAATAGCAGCTGGTTTTATTGATTTCTTACTCTATCCAAATGATCTCCTGGCAGAGACAAGGGCAATGATTCCAGTAAGGTTTCTTTAGCTCAGGTCTTTTACTGCTTTTTAGCTGCACAAGAATTGGTGCATACTATAATGAAATTCACTGGAATTGCTTTAAAACTCTATGAATTGCCAAAACTGGGAAGTGCCTTTGTTCTAGTTGTAGCAGCCCCTGCTGTGAAACACATAGAGAAAACTGTTCCCTGTAAGTCATTTGGATGGTACATTTCTGGAGACTGTCCTCAGAAATCTAACCAATAGGAACATTGGTTCATGTAGGAGTTTGGTCCCCAGTTTGCCCACTTTATATTACTGTTTGCTGTGTTCAGAATCCGTGACAGAGATTTGAGAGGCGCATGCATTTTGCAAATCTCATAAATCCAGTATCAGATCACGAAAGCTGATGTCATTTGAAGCATAGACATAAAAGCAAAACTCGGAAAAAAGCAACCATTGGCAATGCAACCCAAGGACTCCTTGCTGTGGATAGGGAAAAGGCATTGTTAATATCAAAAAGCTGGCCATATTTTTTCATAAAAATTTAATTGTTTGCTTTTAACTGAAGTCATTTCTCTTAGACAATCCAAAATACTACTTAGGAAAACAAGCTGTATGCAATATAACAACATGCGTACAAGAAGCATGACTGGAAATTGGCAAGCTAATGTTGAAGAGTTTCCATTTTCCTACATTAATGGGTATCAGCAGACGTTTTAAGATAAAATTCCCAATGGGTTAAATGATTTCATAGCTCAGATGAAGCCTGATGTGTTCTCACTCTTCCCATGTTTTGCTTTCTTAGTCCCTCTGTGATGTGTGTTTAGGGCATCCTAAAAGACCATCAGCTATTGTATCCTGTATTTCTGAGAATCCAGACTGCATTGCTGTACACTGGGATATATGTTTTTTTGGCTTAATGCTACATTTCTTCTAAGTGACATGAATTATTTTCTACCTACATGTACTTTTCTTCACAATTCTTAATAGTGTAGGTTTTTAAACTCTTGAATTTATTTAAAAGCATTTAAATTGGAGGAAAAAATAAAAGTGAGCTTGCCTAGCTGGAAATGAACGTCCCTGAGTTGTGATTTGTGGCTCTTTGTCAAGTATTTTGAATACAAGTAATTACAGATGTTGCTGTACAAAGAGTTTCTTTGACATTAATGTACAGTTTTCTGAACAACTTGCTAACTTAGTCTTTGTTATTTTGCTTAGGGCTCACCAGTAAAGCCTGTATCCATCAGAGAATTTCAGAGAACAGAGGATACAAGACGATACTTACATCAAAACAGGTAAGAATATGTGGTAACAGTAATTCTATCCAGAGTTTTATGATGAATGCAGAGTGCATATTTACTGAATGTGTTTTAAAAATGGCACTGTTGTCTGATGCTTCACCAGAAACATGCGTTGCACTTGACTTGTAAATTATCGCTCCAGATTAGGAATTTGTATTCTAATAATGGCAGTGACCAAAAGGCACGGCTGTTCTAGACCAGTGCTCAGCTTTGAATCAGTTGGTTAAAGAAGTCTGCCATGTTAAAGTGTATACTTTTAAACTGATTTAGTATCTGCATTTCATGATTTAATTTGTGCTTCAGTTAAATAGCTGACTTTGATTAAATAGCTGACTATATTATATAAAGGACAGAAGGGATAAACAAACTTGTATTGCAGGTTTAGGGGAAGCACAAAGAGAGTTACTATGGAGCATCCGATGTGCTACCTGGTTGACTCTAGGTAGCTGTAGTACTGTAGGGGTTTAATTTAATTTAGAATGTGCTTTTATGTGTCATAATCATGAGCTTACGTCAGGGGAAGAAGGGATAGGATGGGAGTCAATGCTGAAAACAGGTTGTTTAGTTTAATAAAGCAGACTTTTTGAATGATGTTCACACTCTAGTGACTATTGGCTTATTGGAAGGAATGCTTATCTGTAAAAACTGGTGAGAGTTGAACAGAGTATAAGTGAGGTGATTGGGTTTGATAAAAGACATTTGGGTGTCTAGTTAAGAGAACAGAAGATAAGTGAATGTTTAGCTTCTTACTAATGGAGCTTGAATAAAAATTGTTGGAACCCTTCATATTTCAGTATTCTGTGGGGTGAATGTGAATGTGCAAAGACACAGCAGAACGCCAGCTCAGTTGTACTAGGAATGTTAGGAACTGCTAGCTATAATTATGTCATTACTTATGCTGACAGTGGAAATTAATTTTTAATGGCATACTAAAATGGCATTGAAAGAGAAAATAAAATCAAGAATAGTGTGTGCATTTTTCCAGAGTCATGGCAACATTTTAATAAGCATTTTGAAATGTCAGCAGATGTGCAGGTAAGGTAGCTGTCTTGATTCAGAGGAGGGTAACTCCTTCAGCATATATCAGCATTCCTTATCCTGTAGTGTCTACAGGTAAGGCATAAAATAATGCAGCAGTCTGATATGTCCTCCCCAAATAAAGTGAGTGCTCTTGGTTTGAAAGACTGATTTTGTTGCTTGTTTGTTTATTTACATTCTTATTTGTACATTTGTGGTCAACATGGAAATATTTAGACTTTACAAACACTGGATTCTATGATGCATCTGAAGTAAAAGAAGGCTCATTAGCTTGGAGAGAGCTGATGTTTACATAGACGTATTTTAAAGATAAAGGAAATTGTGCTTCAGGATGGTATCCAGTGTTTTCAAAATTTAACTTAAGGGTGGCAGCAGATCTTCATGCAGAAGCAGTTAATGTACGATCTAGATGAATTGTAGTTTATTCATATTATGCTGCAGCAGAGTGAAATTCTTAACAAGGGACTAAAAACAGATCATACTGTTAATGCCTTCAAAACAGTGTAAAAACAGCCATATGACAATGAGTAATTTTTTGTATTTTAAGCTTGTATTAGACAAATATTTCATTTGTGGCCACCACAAGCTGTAAACTGCATCCACAATAATTCTGTACAAATGCCTTGGCAGGCGGCCTCTTTGTTTTTCCTTCAGCATGCTGAAGCCATTAAAACTCTAAGAGTTGGATGTAAGGCAGACTCCATCTCAAGAGTACTTACATTAGTTTATTCAACTCAGTAACTACAGTTTGTGTCTCTAGACAGACTGTGGTGCATTCCTGATGCAACAAAGCTCTGTGTACTCTGCTCTGAATACGTTTCTTGGCACTCAGTTGAATCCAGTCCTGTCCATTTGAAACAGCACAGTTGATGGATTTGTCATGTGAATCAGTGCTAATTTAAGTAACAGAGGAGACCTGTAGCATATGGGTCTTCCACATCTCTTAAGATTCTCCATGCAGAATAGGTAATAAGTCTACACATAGGCTGCAGGACTGACATTTTTTGGAAATTGGCGAATGTGTCTCTGTTCCACAGTTGCCCCAGGAGTGAAGGTTGCAGTGTTGAGGCTGTCAAGAGTAAGCTACTAGATTTCCATCAACTTTCTAGGCAGCAACGTGGCAGGGAACGTGCTGTAGACTGTGGGCCTTGGGAATTGTTGCAGTGCTAGCAACTGCCTTCTAGTAAAAAAATGACTGCAAGTTTTCTCTTATTGTTGATATGATGGATAACACAGATCAGTTATTGTTTACCTTGTGACTTTGATGGGTTGATTCACAGTTAGGAAGTCAGTACTTGATTGATAAAGTGAGCAGGTTCTGAAAATATCAGAGGGTGCTAATGTTTAAAACTGTTCTTTTCAGAGCACAAAAAGGCCTACAATAACCAGAATATAGTCTTAAAAGAGAGATTCTATCTTTGTGTATTTTGAAATCACTGTTAATTAAGCAAGGTGTGTTTATTTAATTATGAGCTGCAGTGACTGTGATCTGACTACATATAACAACATGATTTCTTTAGTCATCCTCAGCTTTGTTGTTACCTGAAGCTAATTGTCTAGGCCATTACTCTTGGAAAAACTGTAATCTAGAAAATCTATTTGGAAAGATGTAATCTAGAGAGAAATTAACCTGATAGTTTATAAGCATTAGTGGCTGATCCCCCTTCCACTGGTGCTTACCTGCAGGGATACTGATAAATTACAAAGACCTGAAACTCTAAATTTGATGCAGGACAGAGAGCATCACCAAGTACTAAGGAGTCGTGGGGACAGGACAGAGAGGTAGGGAAAAGCAACACATAGTTTCTACTGACTAATTTTATTCCACGCATACATCCCCTCTCCCCCCAGTAACTGCAGTAGCCTGTTGGTCCTCTAAACAAGGATCGTCTGAAAAGGTCCTGGATTGGTTACTTAATCAGCTCATAGATAATCAGTATGAAGAACTGAAATATCTCTGTGTAATAGGCCAAACGTACAATCCAGTTGGTATGCCTTTAGCTATAGAAAAGTACCAGAGGAGAGCTAGAAATGACTGCTCAAAATCTGTCATGCACAGTGAGTTAAATTGTTATCACAGCAGTTGGTTTAACAGCTTTGCTTACTAAACAGTTACTCTTCTGATTTGATGAGATACTTGTGTGTCGCTGACAACTCATGTATGAAAATTTGTTTAGATTTAAGGTAAAAATTATACTTACTCTGTTTTTCCATTTGTCAGACCCCCAGCTGATTCATCTTACTTTCTATCAAGTCACCACAGTCAGGTAACACATTGAACTCTACCTACTATTTTATTCTTTTGGATGAGTTTGATGCAAAACCAGACTCATGTTAGCCATAAGACATGGACTGTTTCTCCATCTGTTTTACCCTATGTAGCTCTGTCTTTACAGCATGGTGCACTGTTTTGTTCCAGGTGCCTAACACAGATCCTGAGCTGCACCGCAGGCACATAGAGCATACCCGTCGGGAGGCTCAGCTAGCGGCGCTTCAGTATGAGGAGGAGAGGATGAGAACAAAACAGATTCAGAGAGAAGCTGTCCTTGACTTTGTTAAGGTACCTCCTTTTAGTATCTACTTGATACTTTATCATTTCCGAATCCCTGAATGAAAATTAATTGCCAAGATCATAATACTTGTACATTACACTCTTGAGCATGCATGCCATTTATAAAGAAAATGGCGAAATAGTGCTTAAGTCCATTTAGTGTTGGTGCTGTAGCTTAACATAGACAGGACTAGAACTGGAGAGGAAGACAGAAGAGATCTGCCCACACACAGTTTTTGCAAAGAACTGTATTTTTACATAGTCCACCTCATTCTCTCAATTTTTCATTCATATAGAAGTGACAGGGTTGGTAAAAGAAAAAAGGGGTCTTTATTGGAGAAGGCATGGAGGCCATTTAATTTGGAAGACAAATTGGGCAGAAAGAAAGCGATCATACCCACAAGATGACGTTGGCTGATCTATTTTGATGCTTTATGGTGTGTAAGTTAGTTACTTCCAGGTAAAGCACAGGTGCAAATTTATGGTATGTCAGATCCTCCATGGGTGCTGTATCTTTGCATTCTCTTTCACTGTAGTCAGTATGAAGTACTCTGCTGCTCAACATGCAAATTTCTTTATATGTTAGTTAAATTTATTTTACTGTTTACTGGTCTGGTGACCTCCCCAACTCTCGCTATTACAAATCTAGCATTTTGGGCTTAGGGTGGTCTGCAGAGAGGAAAAGAATGTTTTATTGCATTTATGTAATGTGTAAATTTAGTTTAGAAAAAGGTTTTTAGCTGCTGGAAATTAGGCTTTTCATTGACACCAACTAAGCTCAGGCCTCTGGCAATAGTTTTTATAAAAGCTGTTTTTTATCAAAGATTCAGCTCAGGCTTTCAGTTAAAGGCATTAAATGTTTAGAATGCTTTTTGTTCATTGATGAGCCTTTTTGGGGTTTTTGGTTTTGATTAGCTTTTTTTTTCTTCTGTTGTCTTTGTTATGCATGAGCACTTTATTCCCAGCAGTTAAATTCTTCCCTTGGGTTATATTTTGGATTTATTATACATCTTTAATATGCAGAAGCAACTTTAATTTTGTTTGTTTTCACATGGAATAAAGGCTGGTTTTTTACTGATTGTATCAGTGAAGCTTCAGCTCAGTGGAAACCTGCAATTTTCCCAGTGCATATTTAAAAACTAAGACTTGTTTTTAAAACACTTCTAAATTACACTGTTTTGTTCTGAGCTTTTGTTTCTCTGTCACATTCTTTTAAATTGTCATTCATTTTTCCTTTTTCTATATAGCAAAAGGCATCCTTAAGTCCTCAGAAGCAAAGTCCCCTGGACAGTGAGGTAAGAGTCCAATAGGAGTACTACAAGGGACATCAGCACCTCAATTCTTAGCACTCTCCGTCAGAGGTATTTTTCTGATGATGGAGAACTCTTCAGGGCTGGGTTATAGCAGTTCTTTTGACACTTCATGTTAATCCTTGGAATGTTTTTTTTTTGCTTATGGGACCATCCTAGTATTTGCTTTTGTTCGTGTAAATGCCTGTCCAAGTGTGTTGTTTTATTGTTTCTTGCATGTTTTCTGTGTCACATTTCTTATTTCATTTAAAGTTGCTCCTTGCGAGCCCTACAGTTTACTTTCTAATGGGAGTATTGAGACAAGTTACTGTGTTGTAGTCATCCTTCATTGATCAGTTTTCTCGCAGTTTCCTGCCATTAGATCAACAGTTATGCCAAAAAGTTTAAGCATTAGAATTTTGAGGGCTGTCAGAAAAATAAATAAAATTTTTTAAAGTTTTATTCTTGTGTAGTTTCACAATCAAAACCAGTAAGTCAGTGGGGAGCACAAATCATACAAGGCTCAGCCTTCTAGAGCTGAGCCAATAACATCTGTTCACTCTCTCCATAAGATTTCTACATGTTCCACTGCTTGCCATCCCCACTTTCCTCCAGAGGACAGTAATTCACTTGGCAGTGTTAATCAGATCAAAACTTTTAATAATATAATGAGTATAAATACTTCTTCAGCAGCATTTTCGAACTAAGTAGTTAGAAAATTACCGAAACATGGGGTAATTGAAATAGTTTTTGCTCCTTTGCCTTCTTAATGTTCTTCTGTTCTTAATTTATTCTTTTAAAGGGTCCTTTGTTCTACCACAGTAAGAACTGTGAATATGTATTAGCTATATTTACTTGAGACAACACAGAAAGCAGAGTAATTGATTCCTTAAGTAATACGAATACACTGTAATTCCTGGTTATGTGGCTGTATATTACTGCAGAGTTACATATACTTTATGGATTTTAAAAAAGCCTCACAATGCTATAAACAAGCAGTACATGTTCCAAAATGTCTGTCTGTTCACATACCATGTGTTTCTGACATTCTGTGTGTTTCTGACATTACTCCATCTCTCCCAACTCCCAGTGTCCTTTTCCATCCAGAAGGTCTCAGCATACTGATGATAGTGCCTTGTTAGTGGTAAGATCCTGCACGTAATGGCCTTTTTATGTGTCAGATTCTAGAGCATAGAAATAACAACATGTTATGATTTTCTCAGACAAACTATTTTAGAGCTAATCTAAATAGCATAAAACATGACCATCTTCTTGAAAAGTAGCTTAGCTGTGAACTTTAATATTATATTGATACTTGTACTGGGAGCCATTTTTTAGTAATATAGTGATGATGTCCCACAAAATAATTAAAACTTACCTTTTGCTGACAGCAGAAGAAAATTACTGATAGAACAGTAATAAAGAACAGCTTCTACAATTAAAAATTAGCCTCTAGTCGTTCTGGTTTGATTTCTTCTCCATTCAGCTTGCTTCCCCATTGATGCGCTCTGCAGTATCAAGTAAGCAATTTTAATGCTTCAGGCACAGCCTTCTACTTTAACTCGTCGGCATCCTGCACACAGTGGTTAGAAATACTCAGTATCTTGGCAAGGAAAAACTGCTTTACATATGCTACAAATCATGAAATATTCCCCAAATCTTTTTACTGTGTATTGATTGAGACGTCTTAAAAATAATCTATTATGGACACTTAGAAAAAATAAAAGTATTTATGTACCTAATTCATGTTTTATGCTATTTCTCCCTTTATGGCATCTTAGCAATGTAGCATAATAAAGAATATAATTAATGCCATAATCCATGTCTATAAAAGAAAAATACACCTGATTTGCCTGCTGTTGCATGACTGCATGCCTGGGATTTATTTTCTTCATTCACATGCTTCCATTATCAGCCTAAATTTTCTTTAGGCAGTGGTTTCAGTTAGGGTATCTTTCTCTAGAACACGTTGCTCAAGATATTTACTATCTCTTTATTCAGACGTTGTTTTCCTGCTTTAAAACAATCAGCACTGTGCGAGAAAGAAAGCAAGCAAGTTTGTAATATTAGAGAGAGATGTAGTGATCATGCATGTGCCTGTTGAGAGAAATCACAATCAATTAGCGTATAAAAATGTGCTTTCATATTTAGATAATAAGAAACAGGAGAATAGCAGTGGTCTGGTTTAAGTGTTAAGAATCTGTTGTCAGTGAATTAATCTTTGGAATGTATTTTAAAGATACCTTTAGGGACTATTTGACTGTGTGACTCCATGACTTCTGTTGTAAATTAATATGTAGAATTTTACATTACATGACTTGCACTTTTCAGAAATTGATTTGAGACTGTCTTCCGTCGCTGTTTGTTTCTTTTGTATTTTAACCAAGTCACATCCTTGCACCAGGCTGGTAGGGAAAGATTGAACCAGATTTCCAAGCAGTCATTTCTCTGTTCATTTATTTTCTTTTGATTCCTTGCTCTTTTCAGCAGCACTGAACTGTAATAGTATATGAAATACTCAGTTTTCTAAACTGCTGAAGTATGATCTGCAGCTCTATTTTGCAGTGGAAATAAATACACAGTGTGTCTAATGATGACATATGCCAGGGCAGCTGTTTCTGGCAATTATTATAAACTGGAACATTAAGCCCATGCAAGCTCATGAATTTGTAGCAGTTTTGTTTCAACAAATGTGTTCTGTGTGGTAAAAACCTGTTCAAAACCAAGGAAATGTTCATTAGATTGCTTTAGGGAAAAAAAAAACAACAGTCTGTCATAAGAGTTGAAATTACTTCTGCTTTTTTCTATTCTGTTGTATTTCATTTGACTTTCTCCCTGCCCTTATGGATTTGAGATTTAGCTGGGTCTAATTTCTGAGGATATTTTTTTTCCTCCACAACGTATTTGATATCAAAGTTCTGTTCACTAATGGCAGTTTTCGGTACCCATTTTTCATTTACATAGTTTCCTCTCCGTCTTTTTCTCTCTCTCTCCATAAAGACTGCATGCAACAGTGTGAACTTTACCATACCAAACTTTAGGACATTGCAACTTGCAGATAGGTTACCTAAAAAAAAAAATTAGTTCTGCTGGTTTTTCCACTGATTGTTCTTGCTTTGTAGTGTGGGAATAACACTTCATGGCAAAAGGAGAGAATACTACACAGAAGTACAGTAAAAGATCTTTTGTTCAGCATTTCCCTTGTTACATCAGAGCTCTCCAAACTGAGCAGTTGCTTTTCTTTTCCTCCAAACAATGTTTTCAGCTTAGATGTAAGGAAAAGATTAAAAAAGTAGTAGTCTAATACATAGTTAGAATGCAAGTGAGCGTTCTTTTATTTTACCTGTTCTGTCTTCTGGTTTTATTACTGCTTTAGCAAAAAATTTTCTTACAACCAAAATTTAAGTTGTGAATTTCCTTTTTTAAATCTTACATCGTGTTTCTTCTCCTTGTTGTCTTTCATAACTAATTAAATTAAAATGTATTCACATTGCACAGGTTGCTCTGATTGTTTCCTTCTGTTTGTAAACATTTTCAGGACAGTCTGTTTGAACTCACAAAAAACTACGCATACTTTTCTATGAGTGTTAATAGTTGAGTTGTACGTTTGTTCTACATACCTGTGATTATAAGTGGATTTTGGCTTCATTGCACACTGCGGGTGCTTTCTTTTTGTTGACTGATGATAGCCAGACTAACTAAAATGTTGCTGACGAAATGTAATCACTGGTCTCTGGTGCTGTATACCTCAAAGTTTTGTATTAATCCTGTCCTGGCTGCTGGTCTCACAAGGGTAGTCCTGTTGGTTTAAATTGAGATTACTTGTTGAGATAGTATCAAGGCTTCAGACATGGCTAGTGATGTCAGCTTTGATTGCTTATGGATCTCATTTTTTCCCAAACACCTTGTTTCCTCCCATACCGTCTCTTACAAAGTGAATACTGTGGAAGGAAAAATAGCCCAAAACATCGTCTCAAACTGCTGCACAATTTCTCTGTTGTGAAGCCTATGACATACTTGATAAGCATCAGGCAGCTGGTGTGACCTCTTCCTTTCATAACCTTTGTGTCATTGCTGCCTTGTGCTCTGTTTTCTTGTTGTGGTCTCAAACATTGCCTGAGGCCATCATGTTGCTGTTAGCACATGGGATTTCTGAAACACTTTAAGACTTTTAGGCACCAGTGTGTTACAAATAATAATGGTATGGGTAAAGTAAGCAGGACTTGAGTTATGGTAACTTCTACCCTGGAGTTTTCTCTTAGACCACTGGCATCCATTTGTGTTTTCAGAAGTTTAACAATCAAATTCTCTTAAAATACCCTTACTTGGTTTGAGCAGAGTTCTGGTTGGGCTCTGCTTTGACAGTCCCTGTATCTACAGTTGTTTCTGGCACAGGGAGATTTCTCTGACTTCAGTGCTAGACCTAGAGGCCAAGTGCGGCATGTGCAGTCAGGTGTTGTAAGTCTGAATTCCAACACCTTGGTTCCTTTCATATTGCAGCTGCCTTTTCTTACAGTTGTTCTTTGTCTCACTTCCTCCTTTCTTTCCTCTCTTTCCTTGCTGGCCCTGGCAGAATGGCTTTGAGCCTTTCTTTGTGTTTGAGATTGACAGTAACACCAATACCATTAAAAGAAGGCCAGGGACTCGCAAACAGGTGAAGAGCATGCAGTGTGTTGCTGTTGTGATTGTCCTACCCTGTCGTGTGCTGTTCTCCCCTTCCCTTCCCCCACTGCTGGGTACATGGATTTGTGATGAGTTCTTGTTAGTCTGCATCAAGGTTGTCTTGGTCTTTTCATATAGGCAGAAACAGTTATGTTAATGTTACAGACCACCTACTTCTGTTTTATTTTACTGTTCTTATATAATAGCTGATGTTTTCTTAAGTGATATTTTGAAATTCTTACCAAAAAAAAATAACCAAACAAGATTTTTGCTCTGTGCTGCTGTGGAGAAAGAGTCTGTCCTGAGTATCAGCTGTTAAGTCTGCATAAGGCTTGAAGATGTTTGTATTTAAGGCTTGCCCTGAGCATAACGTATCCTCCTAGTCCTTCCTGGCTATACTGTTCTGAAGTGGCAGAGTAGTTGCAAATCATTTAAAATACTAACGCTCTCAAGTGTGTCGTTCACATCCATAGAGTCTCTAGGTGTCATTTGGTGTTCTTCTCATGTGCTGAATTGCCACTTTCCTATTTGAATGCTGTTTCAGAAAGTATAGTTTCATTCTTGAGCCATTCAGTCCTCAAATGTTTTGATTGTGCTTTCAATAAGGCATGGAATTTGGCCTTCTAGGCCCATCTGTCAGTGATAGATTGGGATGCTGGAGCTCCTGTTCCATAAACATGAGAAGTTGTTTATTTGGTTGGGTTTAAGGTTGTCTGTAGTTGAAATCTGACTGTGCTTTTTTTGTGGCAGCACTGTGAATCTTCACACTGATATCTTCCCTGAGACGTAGATTCCACTCATGGAATCTTACTTACTTTGTGTGTAGTTCACAAGGATCAGCATTAGGTGTTTGTGGCAGACACAAAGCATGTATTCCTAAATTGGTGAGATGTGGGTTTCTCTGATTTTCACCAAGTTGACAGGAAAATAACTAACTAAAAATGCACAACATAGTTCAAATATTTAAAAAAAAAAAAAAGCTTTATTCTGAATAGTGGCTCAGAATAAATTGTTTAGGGTAAAATTTCCTTTTGGCTGATGGCATAGGGGATAGATTAGGTGTTATTAAAGAAGCTTTCGCCTCACTGTTCTACTAGTTCTGCTTTTGATGTCACTGTGTGGTGTGTAAAAGAAACATCACATCTCCCAAGCTTACAAGCCAAAAAGTTCAGGAGAATAGGAAGGCTTTACCTGCAGTTCAGCAAGTACATATTTGTTGCCTGTTGAGTGTTTCTGAGAATGTGATCACACTCATCTCTTGTTTTTTACCTTGTCTACTGCATTCCACCTTTGTGTGTGACCTATCAGCCATTTGCTAACACTCCTACTGCCTTCTCTTTCTTTCTGCATTCAGTCACTTTCAGGGTTGAATCAAGAAAGCCATGCTACTACTCTGCCTAATGCCTCTACCTTCAGTCCTGTCAAGGTATCTCTTGCTATTATCTTTCACCAACAAAAAAAACTTGGATCCACACGTCTGTTTTAACAGGTGTTAGTCTGTCAGCTTCTAATCAGAAGTTCAGGTAGGGTATGAATCCGATTTATCTGATTAAAATGTAGTAGATATTACCTCATCTTAGCTTTAGGCTGCATCTACAGGAGGACTAAGCTATAAAAGCATGGTAACCAGTCTCTGCTCTGAGGGCTTCTTGGTTGGCTTTGATGTTGCTTTTTCTGTACAGGTTTATTTGTGCTTGACTAAGTTGAGTTCATCAAAAGTACTCCTTTTGTATTCTTCACCAGCTTACTTCTGAATACAGACACACTGTCTTTCTTTCTCCTCTGTGAAAACTGCTATACTGCATGCATTAATCACAAGAAATCAATCTGTCTAGGCACTGTAGTAAAACACAGGATGTTTCACTGCGGAGAGTGATGTTAAGTAAATACCAGGTTTGCATTAGCAAAGGGAAAAGTGTGTCCTTATTGGTGCTTCTGTAGTACAAGTTTTGCACAATGATCTCTTTTTCTGTGCCCCGTTGCAAAGAATAATTTGAAAGTTTTGGTTTGAAGGAAGAGTGAACAAAGATCCATCATTGCATTGTCAGTACTGTTTCATCATTCTCTTTCCTTAGAAAAAACCAAATGTGTCATTTCTGCAAAAGACAAAACTTTGTTGGTTTCTGCAGCGATGAGACTTGGGGAACAGTGTGCTGTGGTTTTTCACATTTCTGGGTTTTGTTGGGGTTCTTTGGTTTGGGTTTTTTTTCTGAAATGCATTTAGATGGATGGAGCTTTTTTTAAAAACACAGAAAAATTAGAATGTAGTCACAGCTTTTCCAGATTAGGACCATTTATATTCTTCTGCTCTCTTTATCCACAGAGTGATGACAGATCTACCATCTCCCCTGGCTCACCTACCACTCAGACAGGTAACAGGGAAAGGAACAAAAATTTCTGAAAAAGGATCAAAATGCCTGCTTTGCTTGTTTGTACTATGAAGAGATGGGAGCATTTGTTCCCATCTCTCTATGTGGCAATGCTGTTAGAGAATTTACCCAGTTATTTGGGTCTCCTTAGAAACACACAAGGGAAGAGACAACAGGGGTGAAGCATGTCCTCAGGCAGAGTGTAGGGTTTGGCTGCTTTAGGCCCTCATACAGACCTAAAGCAGATGCATTCAGCACCAGCCAGAACAGTTGTTGGTATTGGTATGTGGAATGTGCTTTGCATGCAAGTGTCCTTGGAAGTGCCTTTTCCTGCTCTGTGCTTTTACCATGCATGGCTGTAATTTATTTTGTCATTATTATATTAAAATTTTTGTTTTGTTCCTTTAATTACCACATTGCCAAACCCATTTCCTATTTAAATTCTAACTGTTTCCTTCTTCCTCCATTCCTGTGCCTTTCCCCATTTGTTTAGTCCACCTTTCCCCTCCATATCCTGGCCATGCAGTCCCGCCTTCCTATAGAAACCCTGCCCTGCGACCAGAGAGTTTCCTTTACCAAGCAGCTGTCAGGGATGAAGCAAAGAAAGGTAGGTTAAATAGCCCAGAAATCAGCTAACTTTGCTACCCTGTATTAACATCTGCATTTACTGAGGTTCGGTAGTGTTCTGTTACTTCAGGTCATTACCATGAAACTACTTTTTGACTTTCTTTTCTAGACATGTGGTATTGCATACTTTTTGAATAAGAAATTTCTTATTTAGAGCTGTCAAATATTCTTTTGCCATATTTGTAGAAATGTGGGGATTTGTTCTTCCTGGTCTGTGCTTACACCCAAGAGATACCGAGGAAATGCCACAAGAGTCTTCAGCAGCTGATGAAGGCAGCTTGATAAATTTAGCGTTGTGAAGTCGCACATAATAAAGTTGCAACTTCTGTAGAAAAACTGAACTGTTTCAGCATACTCCATCCAGCAGAACTTTGCTGTCTCCTTTGTGAGTTACTGTTACCCAAGAGAAAGACCAATCTAAACAGAAAGGAAAATGTGTTAAAGAATGCCTCACTTAGATTAGGAGATCATTAGTTTGATTCATAATAAAATGAAAGAAACAGGTTGTGAAAGAGAATGTACGATAGCCTTTCTGGAACCTTGTGTGTGCATGTATAGTACAGCAGTGAAGGACAATCAGCCAAACCACGCTTAGTGATTTTTCTTTCCTTCATGCTGCTTTTTTAGGTGTTGTTTCATCTTCTACCTGTACCTTGTCTCCTGCTAATGATGCTGCAGACCCTAGAGTAAGACAGAACTCCAAACAGCGAGAGGAGGAGCTGGAGCTAATTGAGCAGCTACGCAAGGTAGGTGCTGCCCAGAGCCAGTATGTGGGCATCTTAGTAAATGCATTGTGCACAGCCTGTTAAAGCTGTCATTGTGTTTCGGATCAGTTTCACTGAACCAGTGTGGTGCACAATTGACCAAAATAAAATGGTGGTGTACAGTTTAAGTGGTTCTTTCAGATGGATGCAGTGATGTTTTTTGTGATGGATAAAGTCAGCTTCAAATTCTGTAAAATAAAGACTTCTGTTTCTGGGTGTCTGGTGATTTCTGCTTTTAAAATGAATGTGTGCTTGCTTTCTTCTTTATCAGCCCTCACACTTGTTAGGGTGAAGCCTTCACACTTCACTGGGAAGTTATCTCACTTTTTCCTTTTAATCTCTGTTTTAAACTCCCCTTTGCTGTAAATCCCACAGAAAAGCTGGTGCTATGCAGACTACTGCCAGTCATGCTGACAGTATGGTTTCCTTCTGTGCTCTGGATCCATCTTTTGATTCATGCTTTATCCTTAGTTAAGTACAGAACATCAGAGGCACAAATATTCTTTATACGTGTCTGTTCAGGGCCACCACAGTTGTGGCTTATACCCAGGTACAGTGATACTGCACATACATAAATATTGAAAATGACACACAGCATTAAGGTACTGCTCTGCTTTACCCCAGACTTGTTTCTGGAGATCATGAAGAGATTCCTTGACATGTCAATTTTTTTAACTTTCCCAAGAAATAAGAATTCCTACTTGTTAAGGCTATAAACATCCCAGATGGACAGAGAGAATTCTTTCTCTTCGTAACATTTAAAGTAAGGACAATCTCTCTAAAAGGAGAAAGTTATCTTAAAGCAAAACAGAACTTGGTGCTGTTTGCAAAGCCCCTCTTCTGTTATCTCAGAATGTCTGTCTTGTTCTGCTTGCCAGATACGCTTAAATCTTTTTTTTAACGCTTAAAGTAGATACAGCCTAACAACTCAGTGAAATTCACACAATGTTTGAAATAAGATTAAATGGCTGAACAGAATTTGTATTCATTTTCTTACACAAATGCTAACTGTTTTCGTCAAATAGTTCAGTTTTTTATTTAAAGGCAAAAATGTTGTCTTGACTTTTGTTAACTGTGTTGTCTTCCAGCCCACAATGACAATGATTTTCACTTCCATTGACAGAACCTTTATCTCAGACTACGTAAGATCAGGAATACTATTTCTAGACCCTGATTTCCATTATTTCTGAATAATGGTTGTATTAGTGCCTCCTGCTATACAATGAAAACTGTTCATCATTGAACTCAGTTGCTCCCAGATTATGGTCATCTCTGGGCCACAGTAGTGTGCAGAGCTTTCCTTGATGATATTCAGAAAGCCGTTTGGAAATGTCATGAGGACAGACAGAGTTGTAGTGCAAGCACTCTGCCTCATGTAAAATGTTCTGTAGAATGAAACAGCTGGAGGAAACCAGCTCTTACTTTTTGTGTGTCCATGTTCATCTTTCTGCAGAATATAGAATCACGGTTGAAAGTGTCATTACCCAGTGATCTTGGAGCAGCTCTCACTGATGGTGTTGTTCTGTGCCATTTAGCTAATCACGTGCGTCCTCGATCTGTTCCCAGCATTCACGTCCCCTCACCTGCTGTTGTAAGTATGTAATAATGATAGTATTTTATAGGTATCCAAAATAGCATCCAACAAAGTCCCATAACCTAGACAAATGCTAAATTCAGCATTTTCCTCTGTGAATGTACATGACAAACATTAACCATCTGCTCTGTGTTTGCTTCACTTAAATGAAGTTGCTTGTAACATAGATTATAAGAAAATGTTAACATTTTCAAGTCCTCTATCCATCAACATGAAAACTAGTGAAATAAGAGTCAGTTCAGCATGAAAACTGAAATAGGATATTTCAAAAGATCAAAAGGTCTGAGAAGTTAAGAAAAGCAGATAGTAGTGAAATAGAATATTCTCTACCACTTTTAGGATCCCACTACATAAGACAGTAAAAACAAGCAGAGAAATCAAGTTGATTCCTGTGTCCACTTCGCAGCACTACAAATTCCTCTGCTTAGGAATTTCAGCAGAGCACACTCAAGCTACTAGGAGAACAGCATCTCCTGGAACAAAACAAATCCAGTCATACCTCTGTGATAATAGTACCCAGACACAACCTTTTTTCCTGTTGAGAGCAAGGAAGGAAATGCAGACATACTGCAAACAGAGAAGTCTGAAAATGTCTGAAGTTGTTTCTCTGACCCTGCCTATCTGCAGTGCTTTGGGAAAGCAGTGATGATAATAAGATTTCAGGATGCAGGTCACTCCATATCACATAGGGAAAGCACAGAATTAGAGAAAGGTCAAGAACTGGGAAATAGTAGCAGATCATTTACCTAATGTGTATTTGTGGAAGTTAGAAAGTTCAGTGAAAATACTTAGGGTCAGCTACTTAAAAGTATTAGGAACAGTCAGACTGCTTGTTATGCACCTTTAGAGACTGATCCTCTGGGAAGGAGTTGAAACATGCCTGTTGCGTTTGCTTTTCCTTATTTTGGAGTCTGTCATTGTGTTGGCTGGAATTTGAACTGGCACTTACAGGGCTGCCTGCTATATCATTGTGGTTCCTCTCCCTTGGACTTAATGTGAACAAGCAAATGTCTTCATTACTTTGGGAATGATTGAACTGGACATGCCAACATTTTAGGCAGATTGTGGAATCATTAAGAGAAAAGGCATACAGCCGCTATTCATAAGACTTACGTCACTGAGAGTATCTCTTCAGTGGCCTGGCTTTATGTGCTGTTGAATATTCTGTGTTGGGAATTACATCATGGCTTTGTCATACTAATCCCAAGGAGGAGGCAGCCATTAGCTGTGTGGCTCCAGGAGCCGAAGAGGCATCATGTCATTCCTCAGTTACAATGTAATCTTTGTATTCCCTTCGCCTTTTGGGGTGAAAGAAGTCAGCACTAGCCTTTAACCTGCTTTCTTGATGGGGAAGTGTGGCACATTGAGGGGATAGAGCAGAGTCCCTGCCATTTGTGGAAAAGCATTGAACCCACAGAGGCTGCTGCCTGCTGCTATGTAGACTCTGGGTAGTTTTTTCAAAGGAGCAGGAAGCTTGTGTCTCTTTGACCAGAAAAGAATAAACTTCACAAATAGAAACGAGACAGAGGCTGTGGCATGGTCTGTATGTGTAGAGGTGTGCAAGCTAACTGCAGAAAAAAACTTGCTTGAAAAAATGCTGGTGAGTGCAATTCAAACAGCTACATCAAACACATCTACAAGCAGCAAGCTTCAGTTCCACTTTTCTCCCATTATGTTCTGGTTACATCTAACAGCCTTCCTTTTTTTTTTTTTTAATCTCTTTGTTGTTTGACACACAGTTTGAGATTTATATGGTTTTGTATTGTAGTCATCCAGAGAGACTCCAGATTGCTTCATATCATGAAATTGCTCTGAAATCACAGCATGGAAGCCATGCATGTGCTTCATTCAAAGTATATTTTTAAAATTGCTATGCTGTGGTCACTAAGGGTGTTGGCCAGTTTCATAACACCTTGTGTCTAAATAGTGCACAGCTTAAAATTGTCTTTTTTAATAAACATCCAGAATTCATAAATTAGCTTTTCATAAAATGGCTTTGAAATTCTAAAGAAAAGCAAACTTAAACAGAGCCTGCTTTGAATTAGACAAGCTTAGGTCAGTGCAGTAAGTTTTTGGCAAAGAGATTTATTAGGAGTTTTATTTAAATAAAAAATTAAGATCTTTTTAAATCCTGCCAATGACGAACACTGTGCCTGCCTCGTTCTTTGCAGCCTAAACTTACAATGGCAAAATGCAGACGAAACGTGGAGAATTTCTTGGAAGCTTGCAGGAGGATTGGAGTGCCTCAGGTACGTATTTCTGCTATCCTGATATAATGTTTCAGGTGCAGTTTTGTATGATGCTTCAGAAAATAAAACCTTCTTTGAAAGATTGGATGAAAACAAAATTATTAAAAGCTTAGAAGGTGCAGGTATAAGCTGTGTCTTGTGGTATAGATCAGACTTAGCTTGCATAATCTTCCAGAGCTAAATGATGTCAGATTTAGTGTATCAGAGGTCTTATTCACTTACTGCTGTCCCTCAAATTCATAATAGCTGATGCAGTTGAAGTCTGCCTTTAGAACTGCAAGGTGTTTCTAACTACGGTTACATCTTCTCAAGATTAGATATTTGACAGCTTAAAAGTGGGATAAAACTTGGATGATGTTTTGCATGTTTTATTTTTCCCAAAGCTTTTCACATTCCTTCAGAGTAATTATCCCACACAAATACCTTTACTGTCTTACCAACAAGTCACGGTATTACTGGCCTTTCTCTGATGGTAGCTATCTTTGCATAGATCCTAATTCTTTCATTATATACAAGTGGTAGAAATCCGTCTTCAGATACTCCTTGTCACCTTCTGAAACTTGGAAGATCTAGGAGATGGGAACATAAAATAGTCCATCTGACTCCAGTTATCCTGTTTTATGCTATCCTGTCCTTTCCACTTTGTCTTAGCAGCTATGTCAGCATAAATAACTTTGATACATCATGTTTTTCTTCATTTTTCTTCTAGTGCATTAATTTTGTTTCTTATATTGCTAAGCATTAGTGTTTCTATTGTAGGTGCTGTTTTCTTTCTTCTGTATTGTGAAAGGGAAAAGTAGACCCAGGCGCTCATTTCCCAGTTATTTCTAAAACCACTGTTCTCAAGTCAGTCATGCAGTGTTTTTTGGTGTATTCAGATAGTTCACTTGCAGGCATTTGAACCACTGGGCTTTTAGGATATCATACTTATCAAATGCCTGGCAATTCCGCATGACTCAGTGGTGAACTGCCTTGGAACATGGTAGGGAGTTGTAAGTGATCATTAGTACTTTGAGATCCTGCACTATTTTGGCACCCTAGGAAACTTCAGACTTTTACTTCTGGCAGAACTACACAATATAAATTTGCCTGAGGCAAAGTTGTTCAATTCTATCCCAGCTTCCCTAATTACAGCTCCCTCAAACATGCACATGTGATTTTTATGAGATTACAGTACGGAGCAGATCACTCAAATGACCCACCTTTAACAACAAACAAACAAAAAAGCCAGTCAAGAAAAAAGCCCTTATAGACGCAGCCTGCTCCATCTGCTGCACCTACAGTCCAGGACCCTCCTGATTTTCTCATATTTCTTGCTTTAATGTGGAAGAGTTCAAGGAGAGTGTCTCTGGGGAAGCTTACTGAAACAGCCCCACCTGAACTCTGAAGTTGCTCTCACATGTCTACATTACATATCTGCTGAGATGTGAATGTAAGATATCTCTATGCAAGAATGGCCTAGCATGGTTTTTTGAAAAGATGCCTGCAGGTATTTCCTTTCCTTTAACATCTAATTACAAAAATAAAAGGCTTTCTGAAATATGGATCTATGTAGAAACACTAAGAGAAGACTACTTTTAGAAAATGGTAATTACAGGCTCCACAGTGGAGCAGCTCTTTACAGAACTTTGCAAGTTAAAGCCCTTGCATCAAAAGAGTCTGACAGTTGAACAGATTGATCTGTGCATCTAGATTTCACTGATTTACACTTCTTACCTGGGTGAAAGGAAGGGAAAAGATACACATTGGGAATAGTTGCAGAACACTTTAATTAGTGATAGATATTTTTGCAGACTACCCTTGTCCTACTGTTTTCATTAACTAAGAGTTAATGGAGACTTAGTGTTGGTGAGTGCTTAGTGCCAGCAGTGTCTCAGAAACCTCCCCTGGAGAAAAATGGTTTTCACTAAGGCATGTGTAAACTGCTGTTTTTAACAACAAGGAATAGTTACATGTTTAAGCTGTACACAGGTGACAGGCACCTCACTGAACACTAAATATTTGCATTAGGTCTGTTCTTTGCAATGGGAGTCTTGCGGATTCCTTTGTGCAAAATAACCAGCTGTGATATGCTCCTCAACTATGTAGGCTGTATCTGAGATGTCTGATAACTGACTGCTTCGTGGATGTTGCTATGGCTAACTGACTGACCTTTTTTTTTTCTGTCTGTTTTCCCTTCTTGCTCACACACTCTGGACAGGACAATCTTTGTTCCCCTTCTGACATTCTTCAGCTAAACCTCAGCGTTAAAAGAACAGTTGAGACTCTTCTTTCCCTGGGGACAGATTCAGAAGAATCCAGTCTTGTCTCCCTTTCCATTCAGCTCTGGGGCTTTGTGGTGTTTTACTGTACTCTAATGCTAACGCTCTGTATGTTCTATCGCTGGGTCTTTTTTCTCTAGCTGAAGGATAGTGTTGCCGCTTCCTCCCTCTGTCCCTCCAGTGCTTGGGAAAGGATTTGAGGTTTTGTCAAGACTGTGTGTATGAAGTGCTTTACTTCCCACTGATGGGACAGAGGTGACAAGTATAATGTGTGAACACATTGGTGCACCCACACGACCGTCTGTGACATAATCCACATTTGTATTTCCTGTGTCATATTTAGCAGGTGACAAGGGAGGAAGTGCTGTCTGGGAGCTAGAGTGAGGCACAGAGGTTAGGACGTGTGGGTGCATGCTATAGTCTGCCAACAGGTGATGTAGTACTTGGAAAACGGTGTTGTCAGTTTGTGCCTCAGTTTTCCCACCTGTATAATGGAAATTGCACCCACCCTGGTAAATTGCTTGAGAATTTATCTGATGAAAAATGTTGAAGAAGGCAAAGTTGTTTTTTTTTTCCAACATCAGTGTTCTTGATGAGATCTCACAGTCTTAAGGAGGCATGGTCTGGTAAGTTTTATCCACAGGACCTTGTAGCTGATTTTTCTTTTTCCTTATCCTTATGCTGCTTCTGAGAGCATGTGATTTCTTGTATTTGTAGACTGGTGTATTACTCTGAGTCAGGATTTGCACAGTAACTGTCAGTGAATCCTGAGCTACGTGAGCTTTGTAACAGATCAAGGAGGAAATTTTCAGAGAAATTGCACTCTTTAACAACTTTGAAATAATTTTTTTTCTGTCACAGAAGGAAAAATCCCTTAAAATTCTGTTGCATGCCACAGAATGCTGTAGCATTTTACTGTGCTCCAGATAAAACTTCACAAAAACTTCTTGAGTTTCCACTTAACTGTGGGCAGCCCAACCCATGCTTGTTCCATGCATCTTCCTCCCATCCTATAATTTTCAGAAACCTTGTATCATCCAGTTGCAGAAATGCAAGTCCCAGTTGCACAATGACTCTTCACTGTTATACAAAACTCAGGTAGTCTTCCATAATGCTTCAAAGCTTTTCCCTCCCCAGGAAAAGCATCCTGGTGCTTTAATGCTTTAATGTCTCAGGGACACCTCAGAACTTCAGGGCACTCCCCATGTGATGTGTAAAAGACCATGTCTCCTCAGAGTGTAGATTGATTCAGGGAACTCTGTTCAGAGACCAGTGACAGGTAAGTGTTAAAGAAAATGGCTTAATGACAAATGTGTTTTCAATATATTTCTGTTACATCTGAAAATACAGGAAATGGCTTGTAAGCCCAGTGTAAGTGGTGTTAGCATTCCGGTGTTAACCTGGCAACAGCTCTGAAGCACAGTTTAAGATACACAGGAGTTCAGTTGCACTTGTAGTTGCTACCAGTAAAAATGTGTTATGTGTACATGGATCTCGCAAGCCCTTGTAACACAGAGCGAGTGCTTAACAAAGTGCACTAGTGCAACTAGAGGAGTCTGTGCCCTCTTTCCAAATCACACAAAGTGTTCTGTCCAAGCAAAGCATTTCTGAGCAAAGAGGGGAATTCTGACAGGGGGAAATTGTTTTATTTTTAAATGAGCTATTTTTGCACTGCTTACTGGTATAAACTAAAATGAACTCAGTTCCTATGTCCTTTAACTTTTTCTAATGAACACTGTGATAAAAGCTGCAAGGGTTTTTTTTACACTAACAGTGCCTTCCAACAAATGTTGCTTGTCACGACTGACTGTGATATGGATTCATTCCAAAGCTTATCCTCTTATCTGCTTGCATATAGAAGAAAAAAGGCATGTTTGCTCAAGTTTACAGGTTATTTTCACGAAAAGCACACTCTTTTCAAAACAGCACAGATTTGCTGGAAGAAAAATGTATTTCAGCCTGGTCATATGGTTTACTGTGAGAATTTCAGCCTGGTTTTGTTTGTTCTCTCTCCACCCTGAGCTTTGCGGGAGGAGTGCTGGCTGCTGCTGTTTATGCTGAAGGATTTCTTTAACATCCTAAATCAGTAAAGGGTCAAAAAGTGGAGGAAGGCAGGTTGCTGTGGAAATAACACGTGAAATGTAGTTCTGTAGGAAGGACACACTTTGGTTATTTTCTACAAATACAGGACATGTATCCTGACTGTTGCGGAGTGAGGATGGCCAGGATGTGCCAAGGACTGATGTAGGATGAGACTTTAAATACGTCTTAGGCTGAGAACAGCACAATTATTAATAAACACTTTTAAACCTCTCTTGCATTTTGCGTATTACTCTTATTCCTCAGGATGACTTTGGAGGTAACCTGCTAGGCGGGTGTACTTCTGGGAGGTTGATAAGTGGTAGTGGCTCATTCTCTGCTTTAAAGCATGTCTCTCCTCACGTTTGATAGCTAAACAGGAGGACTTCCTCAAAAAGGCAGTGTTGCTCTGGAAAGGAAGCCATGGTTCCTTTCCTGCTCCATGTGGTGGTGGGTTCATCACACTGAGGGAAAGCTGTCTCCCTTCTTTTGGGAGAAGTTCATCTTTTGGTTTCATAAGCTGCTGCCGTTTCAGTGTGGGCAGAGACAGAGCAATCTGCTGTTCCCCGCACCTCCCACAGTCCTCTTCAGGTTCTCATTTGTACAGTTTTCTGATAAATGAAGACAAGGATTAGCCCGAGGCCACCTTCGTTGAGAGTCGAGTTCGTGGTTCTTTAGCCACAAGCAGGAGTTTCATGTCGTACCTGTGTGTGTGTGTGCTGGCTATCCATAACATTTCATATTTCAGTCACCTTTTGCTTGATTTTTTTTTTTTTTTTCTTTTCAGTTGAGTGTTTTTCATCCATTTTGTTTTTGTCTTTGTTTTGTTCCCCATTCAGGAGCAATTATGTTTGCCTCTACATATTTTAGAAGAGAAGGGTTTGACACAGGTAGCTGTGACTGTCCAGGCGCTCCTGGAGCTGGCACCCCCAAAGCAGCAGCAACTTCACCACTTGTCTGCTGTGTAAAGACCTCCAGGACCTTTGGGGTTACCTTGGCTAAGCAGAAGGACGTGAAGACTTTACTGCCCATGCAGTGCATCCAAACACACAGAGCTCTGTTCTAAGGAAACGAGTTTCCGTGATTCCTGACAGGAATGTTTTACTTCATTTCTCCATTTTTTTTGGAGATCACAACAGTTTCCAATAACATTTTTATTATCAGTATTTTGCCCCTTATTTAAAGAAAACAGAGTTCATTGGGAGGAGGGTAGGGAATTCCTTGCTGACATGGGTGTAGCTTGGAATGAGATTCCTAGGGGAATTCATTGTTAAAAAAGGATGTTGCTGCAGTGGGCACATGGGGAAATTTCTTTCCTTCCTCACAGGGTTCAAAGAAGGGGAATTTCTTTGCTTCCAAAGAACAGCTATTTCTATTATATATACTAAAAAATTGCAACACACAATCTTACCTGCAGTGTTTGATGACAGGGTCGAACCTCCTGCTGCTGTAACTTGCGTTGGCATGTCCTCATCACTTAAAATTTGAAGACAAAAAAAAAACTGATGAATTTTTTTTTCTCAAGGGTTGAGAAATACTGCGTGTTTTCTCTGCAGGAAAGCGCCGTTGTCAAAGATACTAAATCAGAACTGTTCAAATTGTGTTAATCACATCAGCATTCTTGCTGGGTTCACTTTCTGTTTGGGCTTTTAACATGTCTTTATCTGACGATTTTCCCAACACCAGTGGAGAGAGATCACATCTGTTTCCTCACCTGCCCCTCTGGTCAAGTAGGGATGCGTTTGGTTACTCGGTGGTTTTGTTGAACGGTGACTAGATGTCATCAGGAGCCACGTCTCTGTTTTCACTGCAGTGCAAAGAATCACAGCCTGCTGTGTTAATAATCCTTGGCAACCCTTTATCAAATGGTTTATTAGGGGCGGGAGCATCCCCTGCAGCCATGCCAGCACTGGTGAGTGTCCCAGCCACTGAGAAATTCACCATTTTAAGAACACAGTTACTGAATTTCCACAGTGGGCTGCGTATTGTCAAAACAGTGTCTGTTACAAAAGGTAGCTTCTCTTTGGGGGTTCAACAGGGCTTTAAATAAGCCTTTTATCGGTGAGAGTTTATGTAGAGAGCCGCACTGGTTTTACAGAGCTACCATTACTTCTTTCCTTTTTCCTTAATATGAAAATGGAAATTCAATATACAGGAATGGGAGAGGTACCCAACAGGTTTCACATTTTTCTGGACAGATGATCCTGGCAAAATAAAGACTAGCTCCATGTGCTCTGGTCCTAGTGCCGAGGCCAAGCTCACAACCACATCACCTACAGTATTTTCTCCCCCCCACCCCCAAAAAAGACCTTGCAAAATCTAGTTCTCTCCCGTGCACTTCCTTTGGTTGGCTTTGGCCCATTTAAAGCATCCCAGAATGTTACGCTACTAATAAATACATGGTGCATGGGGTCTGAAACCAACCTCAGGCGCTGGAGGTATTCCATCTGGGAATATATTTGAAGCAGAATACACCAGAAGGATTTCATAGGGATAATAACAGAAGAAATGGGAGCAGGCTGGCTAACAGGCATTCTTGTGGAAGTAAACCTCCCATGGGAGCACTGCTAAGGACTGGGCTTAGCTGAATTTTCCCCCTTTTGATTTGCAGTTTTGTTTCCACTCCATTTTGCTTCATGTATTTCTTTCAAGGTCCATTGTGGTGAGTGTTGAATCCCTTATTTCACATAATTATTCCAGTTGCTCCTTACTGGCATCTGTAGATGGCTGATCACATTGTGAGTGGAGAAGAACACCTGAAGGGTATTTCAAACTGCGCAGCTGGAGAGAAACCTTTTCACACTGGGTCTGTGCACTGCCCTGAGCCTGGCAGGAAATGAAAATGCCATGTGTAGGAAGAGAGCAGCCCACACAGACACTTTCCTCCTCAGTTAGATCTTGTATTTCACTTCATGTCGCTTGCAAGGAGTGCTGGTAATTCTCACATGATTACGTCAAAGTGTCTGAAGTCTCTGCTGTGGTTTGTTGGGTGGAAGGTTCTGCCACTCACAAGCAAACAGTACGGACCACAAACGTTCTCTGTGTGTTTGTCGCTGCGCAGAATTTAAAAGAGGAGGGTACTGACTTCATCAGTTTCCATCATCAGGTCACTTGTGTTGTTACAGGGCTGAGTCGCTTTTATTAGCACACCCTTTGTGGGCTAGTTAAACACTCCTGTTTTAAGAAAACCCTTCCCTTCATGGAATGGTGGGTGTGCTCTTTGCTCCGGTCCAGCTTCCAGCACTTAGGGGAGGTGAAACCTAACAGTGTTCAGGTTGGTGGAAGTTTGGCGTTTCATTAATACTAGTTTTTAGGAGTTAACGGGGTGGGGGGGTTGAGTCTGGACAGCAAGAAAAGGCCGTTTCCCCTTGTGCCTGGTGAAGGCAGCTCCTCTTCTGTCCAAGCAGCGTGTGTGCGGCAGCAGAGCTTGGGTAAGGAGCAGCAGTGGCCTGGCTGGGCAGGGGCTACCTCCACCATCACTCGCTCTGTGCTAAACCCTGGTTCCCTCTGGCAGTTTCAGTGTATGTGATATATCAGTTTGGCAGTAGCAATCCTGTGTGTTCATCCTGGCAAAGACTAAATCTTGACCAGATGTTTAGGAACAAAATCCAAACCTGAAATTTCATCGTACAGTTAATTTAATGTATTATACCAAACCCAACTTCAGTTCTTGTTTGCAAAATGGGTGCTGATTTTTTGGTGTGTTTCTGTGCAATTTTTGTCATATCCCTTGAAAAGAATATTTTAAAGAGAACGTGCATAAAATCCTGTTTCGTGTGACAAAGCAAAGAGGCGATTGTCTTTCTCTGGGGCATTTGTGTTCAGGAGTAATCCACCTGAGTGTGTCATGCTTGCCGGTGTTTACACACTGGTTCCCCTGTGCCACTTGTCCTTCCTTGAGCCATGTCAAGTGCTGGGCAGCGTTTGATGCTCAGCAGGGTTACATGCTTGAGGTGGAGCGGTGCAGGCACACGGGAGCCCTGGCAGCAAAACCCCCCAGGGTTTAGGTCTCCCCTGCTGAAGGGGAGGTGTTTGTAATGGCCCCAGCACAGCAGCCTGCTTAAAATGAATCTGAGACAGCTTCTTACAACGCCAAGGACACCTCTTGTTCTTGGTTGTGACACAACGGCAAATGGTATTTTTATCCTTTTATGCCTATAAATAGTTATTTGAAAAAATGTTTTAGGAACAGAGGACTTCTAAGGTGAATTTGGACATTAAAAAATGCTTTTGTATAGATATTGTGATGTTTTACAAAGTGATCTAATTTTGTTATTTCTGAAAACAGTGTAAACGTGTAATTAATAGAGTAAAGGATTTTAAAGCTCCATCCCATGCTGTATGTCTGTAAATACATTCCATAATTTCTAAGTCTGTTACACATAAATGTGTCTGAGTATTGTACATTTTACATTGCCTGTATTCTGCCAGTAGTGTGAACTTCTAGCACACCTGTAATATAAAAGGAAACCATGGGTAATTTGAAATAAAGTTTTCAAACTTACATAAGTTACGTTATTTCTCCCTGCTGTTTTTCTGTTCCATCCATGAATGTCACATCCTCTGTATCGGGTGTTTATTCCCCTTCCTCATCCTTGCAGGTGCCAGTTAGTGGACTTCTTTGTTCCTCTCATTTTCGTAGTTAACTAGGACAGAACAACCCCACTGTCTTTACACATGTTCTGCAGCCACATCAGAAGCTTTTTCTTGGGGATATTTTACCTTCCACAGACACAGAGAAGCAGTGATACTGTTCAGAATCCTGTGCTCCCCTCTCTCCACGCCCTGGTTTTTCCTCAAAGCAGAATGTACACTCTGGGTTTGGGGACTTTGCTGGTGCTGCTGCTCCTTGTGGCTCTTGTTGCTTGCATGGTTTTATCCTGCCTCGGGTCTAATCTGTAAAACTTGCACCCAGCTTCATGCCCTGCAGCATTTGAAGGGTTTGTTTTTACTAACCAAAATGCCTGCTCCTCTTTTCTTCCCTCCTCATAGCTAGTTTTTATTATTTAGAAAAATAAATAAGTAAAGGCCTAGAAATTGCCAGAGAGCCACAAACTTCCCACTGCGTGCCCCTGTTCACTGCTCACCAAGCTGCTGCCTTCGTGAGGGCTGCCCATTTCTCTCCAGGTGTTCATCCTTCCCATTCTTCGCAAAGCCACCTCCTAACCAGCTTCCCCATCTCCAGCCTTTCTTCCCCATTTACCTCCCAGGAACCCACTTCTTCCAAAGGGCTTGTGATTTCTGGTTTTCCCTACAAGAAATATGGATGTGTGCTTTGATCCCCTCTTTCCATAGCTGGAGAAAACACACAGTGCCAACCCTGACAGAGTTCCTCAACACTGCCAGGTTTTGGGACACTGTTCTCCCCTCCCACCACCAGACACACACTCAGCCAGTTTACTTGCCCGCTGCACAGCCAAGGAACGGAGCGCCGCTGCGGTTTTTGCTAAGCAAGGTAAGGCTGGTAAGGGGAGCAGCACCTCTGGGATGGGCTGCTGGCGGGAGGAGGAGGATGGTTGGCAGCCAGGCCACAGTCCCCAGGGAGGAGCATGCTGTCCTTCCCTGGGAGGTGCGAGTTTAAGTTCAACACCTTCACACCCATTGCACTACAACCAGTGGCTGGGACACTTGTGTTGGACTTGAGCTTTCAGCACCCCCCACCTTAGTGGAATGACAGAGCCTGTTCTGCTGGTTTTTTCTTTGCAACCAGAATTCTGATTTGCTTTCTGCTGAAAAGCAGTCAGATCCCAGCAAATGCCACGTTTCAGATTTCAGTTGTTTGGTTGTATTACTAGTGCGTGCCTAGAGTTTGATATAAAGTCTACCACCCCTCCACTTATCCTTTTTCCTTTGTTCAAGCCCTCTGAAGAGTTTATTATCAGACTTAATTCCTTCCACCCGAACAGGTCACCTGTTAACACCCACCACATATGGAAAACATAAGTCAGCAGTGCATGAGAAAGGAGAGTTAAGATTTGGAACCTAAGTCTCACAGTTGCTCTGAGGCACTTCCTACAGTGAGGAGTGTGGATATGTACTGTCGATATGGGTGCAAGCACAGTCCTGGCTCATGATACCTGCTCTTAACACTGCATGGAGACCATGGAAAGTGTGCAAAATGGCTTTGGTACCAGTGTTGGGAAGGGAACCTGTATCTGAAACTTCTGTGCTCCCTTGATGATCCCTTCTGCCTGATACTTGGGCACCAGCCCCTTCTCTGCTGTTCATACAGAGCCATGAGCCAAAGGCTCTCTGCTTATGATTTCAGTCATCTCCACCTTTAGATCTTTTGGCAGAGTTCAACTTGGACATGAGGATGTTTGGATGGGGCCAGCATCAGCTGGTCACTAAGCACAGCAGGTTTTGTGTGGTTTGAGCTCTCCTGTGAGGGAGTGTCAGACACCAGCCAGCTCAGCCACAGGGCTAATTTTGCTTTGTGCACAGACCGGTATGTGACTGACAATCGTGTCAGGAGAAGGGGCTCCCCTCTTGGTTAGAAAAGCAGTGCACTGCTGTCCAGCAGCTTCACTCTCTTTCTGCTGCCTCATCTTGCTGTGCACCGATGAGGTCAGGGCAGCTCCTGCAGGCAGTGCATCCGGCTGTCTTTTTTCGATGTGCCTTCCCCCGGTGGGATGACATTTGGAGCTATGCTGTGCGCTGACATTTTGCAGGACTGGGGGAATGGAAACCTGCGTGCTTTGACTGCCCTTGTGTTTATACTGCAAGCTGTCAGCAGTTTTTCCCCTGCTGACCTGATGCTGGCACTGACAGCCGAGCTGCTTGAGCCCAGGTGTGGGTGACTTGGCCTCCCTGCCTCACTTGGAGCCGCAGCAAACACCAGTGCCTCAGCCACGGCCAGAGCTCTGGGGTCTGCAGAGGACGTTCTCAGTGCAGAGCATCCCATGCAGGCGAGATGCTGGGCTGTTAACAGGGTTACCTCCTGCTAGCTGTCTTTGTTTCCATACAGCACTTTGGGGGACAGTGTTTCTCACTGCTCTGATGCAAATCCCCTTTCTGCTGGAGAAAATGTCTCTGCTGTGCAAGGGCAGCTTCAAGATCGTAACTGTTACTGTAGCTTTACCTTAACTGTGTCTGACATGACTGTGTTCTCCAGAATAGCTTGAGAACTTGATTTATTTCATTGTGTCAGACAGATTGACAGCAGTGCCATGCCCAGCAACAGCCCTGGAGCATTTCTGTGGCCACTTTCTTATCACTTTTTTTTCTTTGCTCCAGCTTTTCCCTTTTTCGCTTTTTCTTTGTGGTCTGATTTCTTTTTCTCCATCTTCTTCTTGAGGCCCTGGTAGGGGCCAAGGTTCTTGCGGACCATTGTACCTCTCCACCAGGACTGCAGCTGGAAGAGAGAGAGAGATGTCTTAGGAGAAGCCACTTGTTGGAGTACCTGGTACAACTCAATGGGCAGAGTCTCTCTTGTGCTCCCCAGCTGCAAGAGGGAACCTCTGGCCTGCATAGCAGCAGTTGGGCCTGTGCTGGTCATGCTGAAGGAATCCACATCTGGGCCAAGGGCATCTGTTGCTGGTGGCAAGGGGATGAGCATGGGACAGCTCCATGACCCTCCCTCTATCACCCATGCAGTGGGGCTGGTGTGATAGGCACAGCCCCACATCATTTGAGGGGACCGGCTTCTCCCCTTTTGCTCCTTTCTCAAACCTGCAGCTGACTGCTGGCTTTGTGTCTGCCCCAGCAGAAAGGGACAGGCTTTGTCTGTCCTTTGCTTGTGCTGCCCCACACCAGCCAACTTTCTTGGGCCATTTTCTGCCAAAACAAATGACACAAATTACTAACTCCCATCTGCTGATGGAGCAGCACTGCCTCAGCTTTACTCCCCTTTACCTTCAGGGTGCTCTTCAGCTCCAAGGCCTCCTGCTCTATTTGTTTTCTTTTAGCATCCTTTTCTGCCCGGTCAGTGATGATGGTTTTCTCAAATGTCTGGCACTGCAAGACAGCACAAGGGTGGCAACAGCAGCATGAAAACCACTTTCCCTAAAGTGCAGGGCTGTCCTTCAAGCCTCACCCTGCCCATCAGCCTGCCAGAGCAGGGCTCATCCAGACCCTGGTGCAAGGATTCTTCTCCTCTGGCTAATGGGCCACAGCGCGGATCTCTACCCTGTGCACCAGGGAGCTCCACGCCAGCCCAAAGGCAATGTGTAAGTGTGAGCCTTCCTCCCCCATCTCCTTTATTTGATCTTTCCTGAATCCAGATGGCAAATGTTGCTCATTACTGCCATCAGTCCACAGGCACTGAGAGCTGCCGCCAAAGTGAAGCCTCTCATGGCCTGGGTATAATTAACCCTCTGATCCTGCACTGTAAAATGGCTGTCTGATGGTGTCTCAGGCAACAGATGGTGGTAGGAATGGCCTGTGCTCCCCCAGGTAGGAAGCAGATGATGTACAAACACTTGGGACACTGAGATGACAGTGTACAGAGTAAAAAATATGAGCCCACAAACAGGGAAACATTTAACTCAGTTCCATCATCTCAGACCCAGTGACAGTAAGGAATGATTACAAATTAATTCCTTCTGGCTTCAGAAAACCCCTTTTTCTAGCCACTTCTCTCCACCCTGAGCTGCCTGCTCTACTGTGCCTGCATAGCTCTGTTCAGAGCATGGCAGTTAACCAAAAAACTAGTGTGGAGCAGGAATAGTTTTAACCAGGTCAGTCCTTTAGAGCACTGTGCAGCTGTAAATGTGCATCTGCAGGGAGGGATGAACTGCCTCTTCCAGTCTCAGCCTGTCTTACCCCAGTGTGGCTAGAAGGAGCAGATATGTTCAGAATAAGGCAGCAAATGAAGGTGAGGCATACTGATGGGATGGGATAGCATCTTTGCCCCTCTCGAAGGTTGTCAATAGCTCTGATTATTTGCTGATATTTGGCAACTGCTGTAGGGGAAACATCATCATCCTTCAGTGTCACAGGTGCAAACAGAAGATGACTGCTCGGTCCCTGCCTTCCTAGAACCATCTCACAATACGCCTCAAGATTATTGATTTTTACTTTCCGGGGTCCTGGTTCCTTACCTGAATGCAGGTAAGAAAAAGCCAGGATGCAGTTTTGCATGGCTGTGCAGAGATGCTGCTGATGTCTTACCTCCTTGGCAAGTCCCTGCAGTATTTCCAAGTTGTTTGCCTTTAATGCTTTTAGGGCATCCAGTTCTTTGTCTTTAGCATCTGTGTCGTTTTCGTATTTGTCAACCCAGAATTCCAGCTTCTCTTCCACCTTCTGCAGGGGGATAGAGTGGGGCTCAGCACGGTAAAAAGAGTGTACAGGGGAAAGGTTCGCTCCTATTATATGGCCTGCTGTCAGAATGGTGGTAAGAGTCCCCTAAATTTCACATGCTCGGTGTTTTCTTCTCATCTTGAAACAGCCAACGCCCTAGGACTAGTGATAAATTACTGGTGGCCTGCAGGTCCCTCACTGGGAGTTCACCATGGAAGGTGCAGCACTGGACTGGAGATGAAGAGAGGCTAGGTTGGGCTTTCAGGGGTGCATG